TATCATAGAGAGAGAGAAATGCGGTTTAACGTCCACTCGACACAAACTAGGTCATTTTGGGACTAACATATGGTTCAGTTTTATTTTCATAATGCGCTTGTGCGTAGGGGTCTTTAGCAGTGAGAGGAAACCGGAGGACCCGGAGAAAACCCACAAGGTTGGACAGACGACCCTATTCCTTGTCACGTACAACCGGGAAATCAAAACCACACCAGCTGAGTCAATGACAGACCTTATGATATAGCACGCACGTGCTAAGCATTCAGCCTTCCAACCCCCCCTATATTCAACATGGTCCTGCATACTTTACAAGGCAGAATCACAAAGGATTATTTTACTGTTGTCTTTATATTTGCTTAATGTGGAAATATTGTCTTTGATTGACAACAAATATAGGTTTTCCATTTTATAATAATTTCAGTATGATTTTGCATGTTACCCATTTAATTTATGATTCACATTTTCCATGTTCACCTTTTTTTTGAGACTTATGCCCCTTAGCTGAAAACATTGTGAATGCGGTAGTTGCTAGGGTTTTTAACCAATCTTTTTCAGATTTGGTGTTAAGCATTGGGTTCATGAGAGAATGAACCATATCAATTTTCAGCATTCTACGATTTTCCATACGAGAGTTACCCGTCTTTACTAAACACATTACAAACTCCAAAAACATTAATTTGGTGTGTAGTATCAGGGTCATGTGAGGACGAACACCTATTGATAGTCATTCCATTCCACAGTTACTGCCCTTTTCCAAAAACCTTAGAGGCTGAAGGTTTTAATAGATTTATTTCTAATTCGATGTGGTGCATGTGAAAAATGAGAGGATAAGTCCCATTCCCCGGGTTCTCCGGCCATCTATCGCAAAATGTAGGTGTAACTTGTATGGTAGCTGCCAAATTGATCAGCAGTAAATATTCGCATGGCCACTACTATCACTGAATGGGATAACATCAAGCGAGTTGATTAGCTCTCAATAGTAACTTTTCTTTTCTTCTGCAAATTAAATACTAAAACAAAGTTTTAAATTATTAAGAAGTATATTTGGATAAGAAATATTTCTCTATTTTGTGGGGGGGGGGGGGGGGGTGGATGGCTGAATGGTTGGTGTGCGCGCGCTGTATCCTAAAGTCTGTCATTGAGTCGCCTGGCATGGTTTCGAATCCCCGATTGAACGTGGCAAGGAGTAGGGTCGCCTGTCCAACCTCGTGGGTTTTCTCCGGGTCCTCCGGTTTCCTCCCACTGCTAAAGACCCCTACGCGCAAGCGAATTATGTAAATAAAATTAAACCATATGTTAGTCCCGAAATGACCTAGTTTGTGTCGAGTGGACGTTAAACCCCATTTCTCTCTCTCTCTCTCTCTATTTTTTGTTACTACATGCTATCAAAGCTGTTTAGAGTCACACATAGACCTATAATGCATGTGGACTTAATGGCCAGTCATCATCTATAGAGTGAAGCATATTGGGCAACTGCTTATTTGTTCTTTGTCATATTCTTTTGTTGCTATGCTAATGATGACTCTCGAGTAAATGGCATTATTTTGTAAAAACTATTCAAAATGAAATGACATGCACAGGACCTAAGAACAGGTGTGTTGTAGTTCGAGCTTAAACTTACGTAGTTGAATGTGCGTTGTATTTTTGCTTATGTCGTGGTAAGGACATTAGTAACTTGTTTTGACTTAATCTTAAATATTGTGTCACAGTCAGGTCAGCATTCAAAATGATTAGATTATTGGTGCTTTCTGGATCATATTTGCCTTAAATTATTTTGTCACTTGAAAATTAAATACTAAAAGGTCAACCGTGCAAACTATTCTGATTTTTTGGCTTAAATTTAAATGTCAAACATCAAATTTAATTATCATAAAAGATATAATCTGATTTCTTGGCTTTATCTGTTAAAAGATGACTTTATCTCTTAAAAGCATTATCTAATCAATGCAAATTGGAACGTCGTGACTTTAAAATGTAGAAATGTTTATTTGGTAAGTAGGTTTATGTAGAAATTATGAGATGCTCATTTGAAATAATGTTTAATTTCAGCTTTTACATTAGTAACAAAGAATGACAAATCACTGGAACCACATCAAGGTAAATATACTTACTGTAAATATAATCTATTGGGGATACAATATGTCACCTTTTTGAAACAATATATAACGGAAAACAACCGGAAAACAACGGAAAACACTGGAAAACTCTGGAAAACTTCCGGAAAACACCATGTTATACTGAATACCGGAAAACACCGGAAAACCACTAAGTACCGAAAAACACACTAAATACCGGAAAACACACTAAATACGGGAAAACACCCTAAATAGGTAACAAAGAGCCTGGTCCTCTGTTTGCGGAGGGTTAGGGTTAGAGCTAGGGTTAGGTTTTTCGGTGTTTTCCAGAGGACCAGCGGTGGATTAGGGTTATGGTTAGGTTTTTCGGTGTTTTCCAGAGGACCAGCGGTGGATTAGGGTTAGGGTTATGTTTTTCCGGTGTTTTCCAGAGGACCAGACTCAGAGTTACCTATTTAGGGTGTTTTCAGGTATTTAGTGTGTTTTCCGGTATTTAATGTTTTTCCGGTGTTTTCCGGTATTCAATATAACATGGTGTTTTCCGGTTGTTTTCCGGTATATAGTATAGCCCCGATATATGTCACATTTGTGATACAATATGTCACATTGGTGATACAATATGTCACATTGGTGATACAATATGTCACTTTTTTATACGCCCACATTTTTAGATGGACGTATTATGCCATCACCCCAGTCTGTCTGTCCACAATTTGTTTGGGGACACTCTACAGGTCACAATTTTTATCCGAATTTGACAAAATTTAAAGTGCATTGTTGTGTATGGAAATATTCTCATAGTGTCTTGTTGTGTATGGAAATATTCTCATAGTGTCTTGTTGTGTATGGAAATATTCTCATAGTTTTTTGTTGTGTATGGAAATATTCTCATAGTTTTTTGTTGTGTATGGAAATATACTGGTATTGTATGGTAATATTATTTTATGCATCTATTTTAGAAAAATACAGCGCATTTCTGGCAGAACTTCAAGCAACTGGTGAAAGGGTATTTTCCTTGAACCTTGATCGACCAAACTTTCTGAAAGTTCAGTTTCTATATTCTAACAAAGGAGAAACAAACACAACCAGAGATGCTCACATGTTGGTTTTCTTACATAAAGAATGTAAGTACAAGGACTTTACTCTTGCGCGATGTTGGAATTAGATCCCAGCTGTTGAGACATTTCACCTATTGTAAAATACACCTGTATGACTATATTTTAAAAAACTAATATAAGTAATATTTTAGACATTTGCATCATATTCCAGTGAATAAAAACCTCTGCATTGACTACTAAAATATAATATACTACTTGAAATATGTAAGACCCAACTCATAAGTTAATGAAGTGTCAGATTTAGTATCTCCGATTCTGAGCACATTTTAACTTCATAATAATCAAATCACGTCAAATTGACAAACCAAATTTTACAAATCAGTGATGATGAACATAATTATTGTTTATTGAGAAGATTTACATAGCACTTTACCAAGTACCCACTTTATTATATTTTATTTTAGCAATTGGTTTATATCATATTCCACTGGCTAGATTAGGTGATAAAGGCATAGTAAGTAGTCTAGAAATCATTCTATATACAATGTAGTGCATTATGCAGAAAACAAGTTTAAAATCATGGGATAATTCTTACAATCCTCTATTGGAAACATTTGTCTAATAAACAATTCTTGTAAGAATATTTGATTCCCTGGTTGTATTTGACAATGAGTAGGGTCACCTGTCCAACCTCGAGGGTTTTCTCTGGGTCCTTCGATTTTCTCCCACTGCTAAAGACCCCTACACGTAAGCAAATTATTGAAATAAAATTGAACCATATGTTAGTCTCGAAATGACCTGGTTTGTGTCGAGTGAACATTACGTAAACTCTCTCTCTCTCTCTCTCTCCCTGTAAGAATATTTAGATGTGACAATACAGTATTATTCTGCTGGGTGTACTTGTTTGATTAATCTACACTATACACTGCATGCCTAAGTCATCATATTGTCTCGAAACTATATTTTCTGCAGAGCACTTATGTCCGATTTTTGTATTTTCTGTCTTATGAAGTAAGGGGATATAGTTCAGTCTGTTATGCTTTTATTATATAAAGATATAGCTCAGATTGATAACATTTTGGTTTGGAGCGCAGTATATGATTGGTTGTTGAAGAGTTTGTCAACCATTCATTATTTGACATAGAATTATGCCAATCAGTCGAGCAAAACAATCGAAAAAATTTATCAAATATTGATATTATCATGATAATAGGAATAAAGATTTGACATTTCTGCTACTGATGTGATTGTTATTAATATATTTCTGTAGATAATGAATGATCAACCACGGACAGAACATGTTGTGAAGAGGTTTGTATGGTGTCAGTGGGATGTACAGCTACAGCGATTACATTATATACACAATACAAGAAACAGTACAGATGTCAACAAAGTATATCCTAAATATTCATGTTTACAGTTTTATACGGATGCTAGGTTTGATAACATGGTAAGTGTTTATACTTTTATACGGATGCTAGATTTGATAACATGGTACATGTTTATACAGATGCTAGGTTTGATAACATGGTAAGTGTTTATAGTTTTATACGGATGATAGGTTTGATAACATGGTACATGTTTATAGTTTTATATGGATGCTAGGTTTGATAACAAGGTAAGTGTTTATACAGATGCTAGGTTTGATAAAATGGTAAGTGTTTATAGTTTTATACGGATGCTAGGTTTGATAACATGGTAAGTGTTTATACAGATGCTAGGTATGATAACAAGGTAAGTGTTTATACAGATGCTACGTTTGATAACATGGTAAGTGTTTATAATGATGCTAGGTTTGATAACATGGTAAGTGTTTATACAGATGCTAGGTTTGATAACATGGTAATGGTAAGTGTTTATAGTTTTATACGGATGCTAGGTTTGATAACATGGTAAGTGTTTATACAGATGCTAGGTTTGATAACATGGAAAGTGTTTATAGTTTTATGCAGATGCTAGGTTTGATAACATGGTAAGTGTTTATTGTTTTATACACATATTAAGTTGACCTGATATGATATTCACAGTTTTATACAGATGATAATTATTCCAATTTTATACAGAAGTTATATATGGCATTTTTTTTTTTTCAGTCCTGTTAATAAAGGTTTATAGTTAGCTCATGGTTTATTTTATTTTTTTCTCCTACAGCTTGATGTACCTCTTAGTTTTCCGTTTCCTTATATCAGATCTGCTTCTAGGTAAGTTGAAATCTTTTATCATATTCAAATGGGAATTAGGATAACTTTCAGTGGAACAACTGCAGGCAGACAACTGCTGGTTGGACAAAAGCTGGTGAGGACAACTGCCGACCATTTTATTATTTATTTTTTTTTATTTATAGTTTATAACTGTTGTTTTTTTTGCCAGTGATTTTATTTGCGCTTTTTGGTATAGTTTATTAAATGATAAATGAGGCAACAGTTATAAACTATACTTAAAAAGATATATATATGTAATCATATATACTGTTCATTTTATTGCCAATAATTTCATTGATTTTTAGTATAGTTTATTAATTGATGGATGAGTACAATACATGTAATTATTATCAAAACATAACTTAATAGTACAGAGACGGCATATTGTGTACTAAACATTGTCATATTTATATGGTACTGCACATAATATTCACCTGTGATAACTTTTATGTCAGTGCGTGCTATTATAAATAGTCAGTCAGTCACTTAGTGAGTGCTATACTCTTCAAAAAAAAGTAGGGGATATTGAAATACAAATACCTATGCAAGTTGTGATATGATAAATAGTCATGGACATTTGACATGCTTTGAGGGTATGTTCACAGATGAAGAACTTATCGCCCCAACAGAACCACTTAGCTACATGTGCGACACACAATAGCGCCATACACGTAGGAGGGGTTCATTGTCAAATTTGACACTTCGAGGAAGGGTTGATAAAAAAAGTGACGCGTGCTGGTTTATCTATCCATGTTAGCATTGCTATCGGGTCTTGCATAAGATGAACTGTTTGGCGTATCTTTGTTTAGTGTGTTACGTTTAATTTGATCGAGAGAGGTGTTCGTCGACGTCATCGTCAACCCGACAGCACTGCAAGAATTGGCACTGCAAAAGGGTGGGTCAGATTGTTGCAAATCCTGATCGGATGGTTGATTAGGAGCATGCCACGACGAATTGCTGATGAGCAATTACTTATTATTAAGACAAAAATCAAAAACGTCTGTTTTCACTTTTGACAGTGTATCTCTTTGCGAGTGAAATCAGGTCGTCGGATAAGTCACCCATATGTTCATGTGTAGGCAATTGGCCTGTTATTATCATACACTGGTTACCTCTAATAAAAACAGCATTGCATTTCTGCAGTTTTGTATTGTTTCTGAATATCCCCTACTTTTTTTGAGGAGTATATTATAGACAATGTGTTAAGTAAACTGAACCTGTGGGATAATAATAAAGAATATTTAAATATTAAGTAGTGGATATTTGTAACAAAAATGACAAATACAAAAGAACAAATGATATCATTGGCAGCTGTCTGGCTGGCAGTTGTCCTGTTGAGCTCCCATTCAAATGCATTTTGATCGGACAACGACATTGTTCTCCTACTCTTCTTTAAATTCTAACTTTCCAGTAAGGTTTTTTACATATCTGAACAACAAAGCATGTTGTGGTAGTCCTGTTGTCTAACTACTAGGAAGTTTCTGGCCAAATTTTGGCATGGGTAGAGAAGAACCTTTAGCATTTTTGAAGCCCTCAGCGAATGACAATAGTAGATCCTTAAATAGATCCTTCATAGTTAAAAATCAAAGAGGAGGCAGAAATGCCACTGTTTGGGCAAAATTAATCATTAACTAGAACTGCGACGCAGTAATGATGGGTTTCACCAGTGCCCCGTTACCCTTGAACATATGTCACTTCCGGTATCGATGAAACCATTAAACAGGTTTCCATATAAGCATTGAACACATCAAATAAAATGTACGCAGAATCAACCGAATCCAGCAATATCAATTCATTGTATACATTTGTTACGTGTAAGTGATCCTGACAAAATTACATTACTTCCGGTGATAATGAAAATGTTAAATTAGTTCCATGAAATCATAAATGGCATCAGGCATCACATGGTGAAAATTTTATGAAAATCGAATAATGATTGACACTTTTATAGACCAAAAACCTTGAAAAGTGACTAGTAGAAAATCGCCTATTTCTCTGCAATCGTAAAAGTTAGGAACCATTTTGTGGTATCTGTATGATCGTATTGGTTCATTCTATTTGTTGATTGCAATCAAATGTTATAATTTTAAAAACATTACCAATCAGACTCATTTGAATAAAATATCTGTTTTAAAGGCTAAAAATACAGTTTTTGCCAAAATGACGTTACTTCAGTTGATAATGAAAATCTTAAATTACTTGAATGAAGTCGTAAATGACATTAGGTATCACACGGTGAAAATTTTATGAAAATCGAATAATAATTGACACTTTTATGGACCAAAAACCTTGAAAAGTTGCCTGTTGAAAATGGGCTATTTCTCCGCAACTGAACAAGTTAGAAACCATTTTGTGATATCTATATGATTGTTTGGGTTCATTATATTAGTTGATTGGGATCAAATATCAAAATCTTAAACAAATAACAAATAAGACTCATTTGAATAAATTACTGGTTTTGAAGGTTATAAATACAATTTTTGCCCAAATTACGTCATTTCCGGTGACATTGAAAATGTTAAATTGGTTTGACCTTGTTAAAATTGACATTACGCATCAAATGGTGTCACTTTTATGAAAATCGAATAATAATTGACTCTTATACAGGCAAACTAGCGTAAAAAGTGACTCATACAAAATTGCCTATTTCTCGGCAACTGTTCATATTACAAATTAATTTTCACATACATTCTCTTCGTATGGATTATTGCTACTAGTTTATGAAAGTTGCGAAGAAATATTTTAAAATATGAAAAGCCTGAATGGGTTGTGAATAGCTCATTTTTTCACCTTTTTTCACCTTTAAATCGAAATGATCCGAAAACGAAATAAAAATTAAAAAAAACTGAGCGCGATGATTTCTGCGCATTAACAGGGCAAACCCTTTCAGTCATACCAGATTTGAAAAAAATAATATTTGCTTTCAAAAAGTGGTACCGAACTCTCAAAATTGCAGTTTTTGCTAAATTTATGTTACTTCCGTTGCCGAAAGGAAAATGTACCGGTAACAAAAAAAATGACATTTTGGACCGCGGAACATATGAACTTTGTTTTATACAAATCGAACAATGAATAATTAATCCAGGACTGAAAAACTGAATTAGCCAATGAAGGCCAAGGAAAAATACAGTGACAAAAAATTTTCCCATTTTTTGTCAAATCAGATGACCCTTTAACCCTTGGTAAAATACCACATAAAAATATTCATTAATAAAAAAGTTTTTCGTAAAAATTTATATTTTCAAAATTTGGCGCTTAATATCTCCGAAGATTTGTCGAAAATAAAAAATCCAAAGAACCTTAGCTACGTGCCTTGTCTCTGGCTAAGTCAAAATGTATCAAATATTACAATCCGACAATTATTGTTAACATTACGGCAAAATATCGAAAAACTACAACTTCGGTGATTTCGGACATTTCGCATTGTCGCAGAACGTTGGAAATAGCTTTAAAATTTAAGTCAAACCCACTTTCCCAGTAAAATCGAAGACATCGAATCGATCCGACAAGTAGTTTCTGAGATATGCTCAAATGGAAAAATAATAATAATAATAATAATAAGAAGAATAATAATCCGAACAAAAACAATAGTGTTTCACACTGGCTACGCAGTGTGAAACCCTAATTAAAAGTACCATCTTATCTCAAAATGGTTGACGAAACATCCATTCTATTCCATTCCTGAGTAACAAGATCACCTCGGTCTCACACCGTTGACAATGGGAAACCATACTCACAACTCTCAAGGAAATTTTCAAACCAACACTACAATCGAAAAAGTTATCCAGAGCCATATTTTTTGAAATGAAATGAAATGAAATGGGGTTTAACGTCCTACTGTTCTGCTCCTATACTGGGCTAATGAAGACGGACATACGCCATACAGTGTGCTATGAGGGAAATTTTGCCCGGGCAGCGGCACTATTGCCTACTCTTATATTGAATTCCAACTGCCAAGGGATCTTATATGTGCATTCCAATGTATACACGGGACCTTGGTTTTTCGTCTCATCCGAAGGACTAGACAACTGTCCTTGTCAGGCCCTTTGTTCTGCACCTCTGACAAGGGAAAACCACATCGGAAAATCCAGATGAACTTTCTCGGCCAATGCAGGGATTGAACACCCGACCTCCAGGCTAGCGAGCCAGCGTCTTAACCACCTAGCCACTATGGCTTCTCATACTTTTTGAGCCTTCATGGCTCCCAATTAAACATACATTATGCAAGAGCTAAATCTGCCTATTGCTGTTCTTTCTTTAGGCCTGAAATGTTATCTAAATTATTAATTAGATATTAATTAACTTTTCAAGACCATAATCAATGTTTGATGCCATCGCTAGCCTGCGATATTTACTGGATTGGAATACATTTTTTGATGAATGATTTAATGTCAAAATGGATAATTAAGACTTTAGTAATGATGATCGAGGCTAGGCCTAAAATTCAATCGCTTATATCTTGGTTAATAAGCATATTTTCTTTACGTTTTTTATTTTTAAACATTATATAGCGAGAACTGTCAATTCTTTATCTAATATCCCATAATTCCCCTTTAAAATTGATTTTTTTTTTAATTTTAGGTGCCGTTATGCTGATATACCGTTAAACCCAGGAATTCCTGGTAAGAATATTTCTATTCTTACACCCATTACTTTCAATGAATTTTATTATATACCGGTAGTTACTGCACAACAAAACACAGATTGAACAAACACCACCATTCTATTGGTTCTGATAATATTACATCTCAATAGGCATGACTGTACTTTTATTTTCACTGAAATAAGGGCTGCAAAAATATCCTTTTTCGTCCTCCCTGTGCTTCGCAATCATGACTGGCCCTTCTGGTAAGTTTCTTAAAAAACATGGCCTGCTCTATCAACCTCAGTGTAAGCGGAGGTAACCCTAGTTTAGTTAAAGTTGTAGACAGCACATTAAGCGATAAACAAATTACAAAATACAAAAAAGACGTCGTACTTCTGATCCTTTATTCCATTTCATGGTTGGTGATTCTTATGTAAGGGAGGAGGAAACTTTTATGTAAGGCAGAAACTCTTATGGCACATTTGCTTGTCACCCGAATAACCCGATCATCAGGGTATACAAAATCTCAAAAGACATAAGAATTTAACTAGCTTCGAGACAAATGTTCAATAAGTTGAAAATGGATTGATAAAGGTGGGGGGAGCCACGGTGGCTCAGTGAGTAAGATGTTGGCTCGCTAACCTGGAGGTCCTGTATTCAGTCCCTGCGTTGGCCAAGAAATTTGATATTGATTTTCCGGTGTGGTTCCCTCTTTTTCAGTGGTGCAGGACAGAAGGCCTGACAAGGGACAATGTATAGTCTTTTGGATGGTATGAGAAACCGAGATCCCCTGGCGTGCATGTAAAAGAACCTTTGGCAGTTAGAATTGGATATAAGAGTAGGCTGTAGTGCCGCTGTATGGCGTATGCCTGTCTCCATTAGCCCAGTTGGAGCAAAACATTAGGATGTTAAACCCTATTTCATTTCATTTGGATAAAGATTGGGAATCTTTGGTCTAATTGAAGAAAACCATTGAATCTGGTATATAAGACAAACGATTTTACTTCTGTGAAGCATGTAATAGTGGCCACTAGACATACATTCGTTAATTAATTTTTGTTTATTTTATTCAGACATAGATTTAAATATTCAAGTTCTGTCCCAATCTAATGGAACAGTTTGTATTTGTTATCAGCATTTATTACAAGCCAGAAAATCTGAGGTTAGTATTAACACGTCTTTATACACTGACAGAGTGACTTTATTAAAGATACATTATGGAAGATTAGATAAAGAGCTGTCAGTTCTCACTGTAATAGTTCAAACTAGATGAGGTAAAGGGAATATGCTGAAAATTTCAGTTAACTTGCTTCAATCAAGGCCGAGAAAACCTTATTTTAAAATTTTTGTAGCCTCGATTGTCATTGTTAGCGCTATCACGATAATTAACAAAGTCTTGATTATCCATTTTTGTGTTTAATCATCAACAGACGTTGAACAGCAGATCGGATTCAAATCCAATCAAAATGGGACAGATAAGATGGCTAATTAATAGTTTATATAACCTTTAAGGCCTAAAGCAAGACCTGCAATAGGCAGATTTACCTTATATGTGGCATTGCCTGTCTAACCTCATGGGTTTTCTCCGGGTCCTCCGGTTCCCTCCACTGCTAAAGACCCCTACAAATAAGGAAATTATGGAAATAGAATTAAACCATATGTTAGTCCAGAAATGACCTAGTTTGTGTTCAGTGGACGTTAAACCCCCTCTCTCTCTCTCTCTCTCTCTCTCTCTCTCTGTATGTGGCAAAGAGGAAACATTCATCGGCAAGGTGACTTTGTTAAGATCATAAGACATGTTATCTGTGCAAATCATCACTTGGATCACATACACACACTTGTATTAATTTGAGAGGGTTGGATGGCTGAATGGTTAGCATGTGCGCGCTGTATCACAACGCCTGTCGTTGAGTCAGCTGGCATGGTTTCGATTCTCCTGTCGTACGTTACAAGGAGTATGGTCGCCTGTTCAACCTTGTGGGTTTTCTCTGGGTCCTCTGGTTTCCTCCCACTGCTAAAGACCCCTACGCGCAAGTGAATTATTGAAATAAAATTGAACCAATTGTTAGTCCCAAAATTACCTAGTTTGTGTCAAGTGGATGTTAAACCCCATTTCTCTCTCTCTGTATTAATTTGGCAAGCATGGAAGTAACAAAGTAATCCAATGCTTACTTTTCTATGTTAGGAAATATTTGATGTGTTTTATACGTCAGGCATAATAATAATAATAATTTATTCATAATGCACCTATTACCAATATAAAATACTGCTCAATGGTGCAGTTAACATTTTGTGGACATCACACATAGAAAAAATAAAATTAAATGGATGATAAAAGAAATTAAAATGGCATACGATAACAATCAAAATATGTTAGATATATAGGGAGATAATGTAATAAGTATTTTGAAAGAGATACAGTGTGATATAGGAAGCCAATGTAGATCATGTAAAACAGGGGTAATGTGATCGATAGGTTTAGTTCTGGTAATGATTTGTGTGGCTTTATTCTGAATTTTCTGGAGGAGAGACAACTTATTTGCAGGAAGATTACATAGCAGGGAATTACAGTAGTCCAAATGAGACGTAACAAGAGTATTCACAAGCATTTTACAGGTTTCAGTGTCAATGAAGTTTCTTATATGACCAATTTTATACAGTTGAAAATTTGTTGATTTACAGATAGACGATATATGGTTACCCATGTTAAATTCACTGTCAAAATAAACACCTAAATTTCTAACAATCTTAGCAGAAGACATTTCACAATTATAAACTTGAATTTTATCAATGGACAATTTTTCTAGTTTTTGATTTGATCCAATAATAAGCACTTCAGTTTTATTGTCATTTAATTAGTTTCAGGAAATTGTTTGTCATCCATTCTTTTATTGATAAGACGCAGTTTTCAAGGTTGCAAATATCACTTGATTAAGCTAAATATAGTTGTGTATTGTCGGCATAACAGTGATAGTCCAGATTATGGTTTTAATAATATTACCTAAAGGTGTATTGTAGGCTGTAAACAGAAGTGGGCCTAATACCGATCCTTGTGGCACTACAAACTGTAGATTAACTATATTAGAGTTAAATATATTACGGAATTCGTCAGAGACAGTATCATCAAACTCATCAAGATGAATGTTAAGATCACCAGTTATAAAAATCTTACCAGGTTTAGAAGATATATCCAATAAAAGGTCCGAAAATTCACTAAGAAAGACACTAGTTGATGTTCTATTTGACAGTCGATACAAACACACAAGATGTATATTATCATTGTTGGATTTGAGTAAGGTATGAAGAACTTCAAAACTTTGGTAATTAATATATAGCTGATGTAACAGAAGATACATTCAAAGTTTTCTTGTAGAATACTGCTAAGCCACCACTGTGATTTGATAACACAGAACCAGAGTTATTAGGAAGTAATTGATTCAATAATTCACTTGCGCGTAGGGGTCTTTAGCAGTGGAAGGAACCGGAGGACATGGAGAAAACCCACGAGGATGGACAGGCGACATTACTCCTCGTCACGTACAACCAGGGATTTGATACCATGGCTCTCCTTTGTCAGTGATGCAGGACCGAGGGCCTGACAAGGACGGCTGTCTAGTCATTTGGATGGTATGAAAAACAGAGGTCCCGTGTACACATTGGCATGCACGTAAAAGATCCCTTGATCGTTGGAATTTGATATAAGAGTATACCATAGTGCCTCATAGCACACTGTATGGTGTATGCCTATCTTCATTAGCCGAGTAGGATGTTAAACTCCATTTCATTTCATTTCATTTCACTTAAAGTTACAATTTCATATTTTCTAAGAAAGTCAAAACATAATTATTTCTATGTCTTTTGCTCAATAGGTTGTCAACTCACTATTATACGATCATAGGTGTCATTCTCACACTTAAAACTCATTTACACCGGAAATAATAACACAATTACCTCCCAATTACCTCCCTTGTTTTCTATTCTCCACCATGGAGTAGCTTTTTTCAAACTTTTGAATTTTAAGAGGAAAATGATATTTTTGCCAATTTCTTAACTGGCAATAGTGAATTAGGATTAATAGGATTATTCTTTAACAAGGTAGGACTGTTTATGGATACCATCTATTTTAAGGCTTTATTTTAATAAATTTTAAAAATATAACTTAAAAATATGAAATTGCAACTTTAAAGGGACAATAACACTCTTGCTGGCTTGAAAGCTCCAGAAAATAAATAATATCTCTATCTAAGTACTAGATGTTTAAGTGTCCTACCTGTTGTGTAAATTATCCATTACATCCTATTTTACTTGTCCAGAGGGTTAGAAAATATTTTTAAATCGAAGTTTCATTTGAAAAGGTTTACGTTAGACGTTTCAAACCATTATGTTGAATTTTTCAAAATTTTTAAATAAGGTGTGTTAAGATGAAATTTGTATCATCAATTAATTGAAATATTCTAAAATAGTACAATTTGTTGACCAGAATAAAGATTGGGACATATTATTCAGTTACAACAAGAGTGGTATTGAGCCTTTAATTAACTTTAACTATGATTGGATACATTATTTAATTTATCAGTACAATCCCTGCAAAAAAAACGGCGCCAAATTGTCTGTGTTTAGGATTTAATACCACAAACACTCAAATCACCCTTTGTGTTTCGTCGGTTGTGTAAGCTCTCCTTTGTTTAGAAATCAGTAATGCGTATAATTAAAAAGACGTTATAACCTGCTTTAATGATGATTAAGTTATCAGATTGTGTATGTTGATCCGTTGATCATATCCTCTCTTTCTTGTACATGGCTGTAATTGTTTTTTTTGTCTTTTGCTATTAAATTATCTGAATGTCCTTTGAGGTATTGTCTAGTCATTCAGCTGGGACAAAAAACTGAGTTCCTGTGTACACATTGGCATGCACGTAAAAGATCCCTTTGCAGTTGGAATTCGATATAAGAGTAGGCCATAGTGCTGCTGTCCAGGCAAAATTTCCCTCATAGCACACTGTATGGCATATGCCCATCTTCATTATCCCGGTCGGAGCAGAACAGTAGGACGTTAAGCCCCATTTCATTTCTTTCCTTTCCTTTGAGGGAAGGGGGGGGGGTGTGTGTGTGGCCAAATGATTAGCACGTGCGTGCAGACCCCTACGCGCAAGCAAATTATTGAAATAAAAAAATTAAACCATATGTTAGTCTCGAAATGACCTAGTTTGTGTCGAGTGGACGTTAAACCCCATTTCTCTCTCTCTCTCTAGCACGTGCCTGCTGTATCATAAGAACATATATTAAATAGTCAGTTTTGATTTATTTTTTTTTTTATGGACAAGCTATAGTCGTTTTGATTAAAAGTTTCGTCTACAACCTTTGTTACATGTAACTAACTTGTGCCATCTTTAACTTTTGCTAATCGAGAGATTGGGGGGTGCCCGATTGTCAGTCGGAACATCCTGAATTGACAGAATAGCAATCAAGTGATACGGAATTCAGTCCTGTCACAGTTCTGCCAGTCCCGACAGCTGCGGTGGTGTGAGTAGAATCGTGACGTATTTTAAGTAACAAATATGTTTCAGCTGCCATGATTGGTTAAGATATTTTTTATGCAGTCGGCACATGCGCTGTACTCCGTAATTCTCCTTTTCAATCGATTGACACTATTTTCGGAATTGAAAGAATTTAATTCCGGAACATTTAATCGAGTATCCCCATTATCTACTGTTGAGATTATTGTTTCGTTTTCTTAATTAAATGTTAAATAATTAATTTGTGTACATATTAGCGTGGATTAAGCCGTGGGAAATTTGAAATTTGACTGTTCTCCCGCTCGGCCTTTCCACCTGTTACACTTTTCCAACACATTAACTCGACAGAGTTCACAGGTTCGATCCTGGTGTTGGCTGAGAAAGTTCCTTGGGATTTTCAAGCATTGCTTCCCCTTGTCAGTGGTGTAAGATTTTGGTTCTGGCAAGGAAAAGTATCTAATCGTTGGATAAGATAAAAAAAAAACAGGGTCCTGTGGACACGTGGACGTCCACATAAAAGAACCCTTGACATTTGGAACTCGACAAGGCCATGTTTGTGCAGTTAAGTAGAATATTAAATAAACTCCATAACATTTTATCTCAATGTTATATATGATATGAATAACGGCATATTTTCAATTGAATAAGGGGTATTGGATGGCTGAATGGTTAGCACGTGTGTGCTGTAACATACGGTCTGTCATCGAGTCAACTGGCGGGGTTTCGATTCCCCGGTTGTACGTGACAAGGAGTAGGGTTGCCTGTCCAACCTTGTGGGTTTTCTCCGGGTCCTCTGGTTTCCTCCCACTGCTAAAGACCCCTACGCGCAAGTGAATTATTGAAATGAAAAAAATAAACCATATGTTAGTCCCGAAATAACCTAGTTTGTGTCAAGTGAACTTTAAACCCCATTTCTCTCTCTCTCTCTCTCTCTCTCTCTCTCTCTGTCTCTCAATTGAATACAAGAATCTAGAATTTGCTCTGTTTGTAGCCCCATACTAGAAATCTCTTTGTTTTGTTTATAGAAACCGCCTGAAGAGAAAGATGATATTTTTGATATTGATTATTATATTTGTATGGTTCATCATGGTAAGTTTCAAATTTTATATTAATTAGCGGTGACCCCAATTTCAGTAGCAGAGCTAGAGGGAGGGGCATGAGGTATGTGCCCCATCCTATTTAACAGACTTAAAAACTTGCCATAGTTAAGCTCCATGATATTTAATGCTGATTAATGCTAATTAACCCCCACATATTAAAATGTCAGTCTCTTTGTCTGTCCGTAAAACTTTTGTCATCACTATCAAATTCCGAAATTGAAGTGCGTTTTTTAGATGTTTTTTCTAGGTTTTGCTCACATTAAAGATGGGTTCCCGCGTACAAACTGGGTGATTTAATGGTATATATGGACCAAAAACATATTCAAACTAATTAGTTTGTCATAATTAGGCTTCAAATCCTTCTCAAACATTGTAATTGCGAAGGAATGCACTGCTATTAAAATTCGATCAAACCAGGACATGTTTATGTCACGTCTTGGGAGTCAGAGGAGAATTCATTGCATACATAAGACGATGTTGTCTTTAATCGCTTACTATTTATTACAAATATCGAATCCTAATTAAATTCTCGGATTATTCACTTCCCGCATCTTTTTCCGTCATTTTTATCTCAGAAAGTATTGTACGTCTAACTCTTCATAAAGTTTATCAACTTGTACATCAAGCGCTCAATGTTCGCTTGTGACCTTTGACATCACGCGTGCAGAAGTTCTTAATCGTCGGGCTGTTGATTAGGGGAACCCTTACATTTTTGTCCTGTATACGCTCCATGAATGTTTTTCGGGGAATCCAGAATTTTTCTAGTAAGATTGGATATCTCTACTTTCCATATATACCGAAATTGCCATACTTTTATTGGAAATAACCACCCGATAAATACTTTTATGGGAACCCATCTTTAAGTAGAGTGATAAACAATTTGATTTCTGGATGCTATACTATTCAAAAAAAGTAGGGGATATTTGATTTTTAAGTGTTATTAAAGTCACCTAATGAAACTGACGAAGAAACAAATGACAAAATGAAATGAAGTTCACATTCATCGATTTATTCCAAATGATCGTTAGACTAAGTAAGGCACAGACTGACCATTATAAGGGTAAAATGATACCTGGGGTCAAACAGCAAAGTTACCACAGCATCACAACCAAGTCAGTAACGGGTAAATCCTCCTCTGTTTGCCAAACAAGCATTGATCCGACGTGGCATACTCCTAATGAGACGTCTAAGGTCATTTTGGTCCAGATTGTTCCATTCCTGTTGCAACGCAGCAGCAAGTTCTTGGACATTGGCAGGACGTTGTTGACGTTGACGTAACCTCTGTCCAAGCATGTCCCAGACATGCTCGATGGGGGAGAGTTCGGGACACAGTGCTGGCCAAGGTAATGTGGTGATGTTCTGTTGTTGGAGGTAACCTGTAACGATCCTGGCCCTGTGACATCTTGCGTTGTCATCCTGGAAGATGAAACGGCGGCAATGACGTCGTGCGAACGGCACAACATGGACTGCCAAGATGTTGTCTCGGTAGTACTGGCCTGTAACACGCCCTGCAACAACATGTAAAGCCGTTCTTCCAGCAACAGTGATGCCTCCCCACACCATAACAGAACCACCCCCAAATCGATCATGTCTGATGACGTTAACGTCTTGGAAGCGCTCGTTTCGACGACGCCACACCCTCCTACGTCTGTCCAAAAAATCAACAGTGAACCTTGACTCATCTGAAAACATCACATTGCTCCAGTGTCGATTATCCCAGTGTTGACGATCCCTACACCAACGACGTCTTGCCTGAATGTGATGATCTCTCAAACAAGGGATCACGCGAGGACGTCGGGCGCGAAGGTGACCCCTATGCAGTCGATTCCGAATCGTCTGGCCACTCACTCTCACACCAGTGTCTGTTTGAAGACGAGCGCTGATCTGATTTGCTGTGATGACACGATTTCTCAAGGCCAAGGTACGGATAAATCGATCCTGGGCTTGAGTTGTCGCCCTTGGTCGACCTGAGCGTGGTCTGTCCTGTACAGATTGTGTATCACGGTATCTGGACCATAGCCTGCTTATGACAGACTGAGAAACATTCATCGGCCGCGCCACAACCGCCTGTGTTGTGCCGATCTGTAGCATGCCAAGGGCACGTAACCTTTCATTTTGGGTAAGCCGACGCATATCAAAATTTGTTTTCTGGTCACTAAAACAATTAAACTGATGTTTCCACCCTGGAATTCAATGCCACAATGACTGTAACATTCAAAGTCAGAGTCGTGCAAATCTTGGGTTGGACCCCCATGATGATCCCAAGCATCACCTGCATTCCATGCGGTAGCTATTGGTGCGTTTGGGCGTCACATGTAACTGGAAATGTTTCTTCTGTTAGGTTCTATAGTGACTTTTTTCGTAGTCATTTGCATATTTTAGTATTATGCCCCCAAAATCATATATCCCCTACTTTTTTTGAATAGTATATATAAAAAGATAAATGCGCAAGGAATTAATGACTGTCAACTATTTATTTTTGGATTGAGACTGTTGATATCAGTTTGATTATTGACATGTTAAGAAACATTTAATTCTGTTGTTTGCATTCCAGGACTTACTCTAAATTGTGTTTTAATTTTAAGCTATTGAATGTCAAAGGACTTACATTGTACAGGTCACAATTCTATGACATATAATTGCTTCTGTACGTTTCAACTAGGCTTCTCTATCAAGGTTCTTTATGAAGCATTGCTTGATAATAATAATAATAATATTTATTATTTAACGGCAATTACATCAACATAGATCTCAATAGGCGGTACAACATAAAATGAAAAACAATAAAATATCACAGAGCATCGTGAAAAAAAAAAAAATGCACGTATATAAAGAACATTTACGTTTAAAGTAGATCCACAAATAAAAGGAATAATTCAGAAAAGAGTCTAAGAACAAAACAAAAATTTTAAATTGCTTAAATGACTCCAATATAATAAATAAAACTGATAATATGTTATGCTAAAAAAATGAGTTTTTAGTACGGATTTAAAATGATTTTATAATGACTAGAGAAGCCCAGTTGAAATGTTGCTCAGTAATAAGCAGTAAATCGTATTCCAAAGAACTGTGACCTGTATATTCCAGTTCAATTACTAAACATACATTATGCAAGAGCAAAATCTGATTATTGCAAGTCTTAATTTAGGCTTCAGATGTTATAGAAATTATAAATTAGATCTTTATTTAAACAACAAGCCCAAAATCAACTCTGTAGACCCACGGATGGCTCGGCTACAGCTCGGATTTAAATCGGATTTCACTTATTGATTAATTCAAATATGACGCAACCTGATGAGAATACGTCAGTTAGATCGAGGCTAAATGATAGAGTCTACTTAGCGAGGCCGCTGTAGAGTGTTTCCGCATGCCATTGAAAACATTACTTGATAATCGAGATATGTAGGTGGAGTTAACGCCTGTCAATCAAACGATCGGCCAAGGTGAAGGCACATTTCACTACCATTTCTAGTCAAATATTACAACGATGATAACTATGTTCAGAATAAAGTAATTTGACTGAAATTTTCAATATATTCTTCTTTCATCATCTACTTTTGAACTGTTATAGCAAGAATGGCCAACTCTCTATAAAATTCTCCCAATATGTATCTTAAATGCTATTACTTCTGTTAAATTGGAGTTGTCACATTTAGAAGTACAAACAAGGACTGAGAAGGCGTCCGTGAGTATGGTAGGCTCGGGGCCCATAAAGAAGTTAATGTCATTTGAGGACCTATCTAGAAAGTACCATTAAGAGTAAGGGCCTGTTATGGTGTTAGATGTGTCAACTATATCAGTGCCATCCATGGCTATCTCCTCAATTCCTCTATCCTGTCGTACTTTATACATGTTTTATTAGTAGTCTTTGTTCTAATTTTCTTTTTCAGCTAAAACATTACATGGATGTGTAAATGGTTTACGTAAATCAGTTATAAAAAATAAAAGAGTTCATTTTCAATGGTGTGGTGAGTGTCAAATTAATCCAATTTTTGTTAACGGAAAATAATATGAGTTAGTACCTATAATTGTGTGAAATGTACTGGTTAATGGTTTTCCATTGTGAGCGGTGTAGGATAGAGCAAGGAACAGGAACTAGTCCTTATAATAGAACGGAAATACAAGGTCTTATGTACAAGGGTTCCCCCTTGTCAGTGATGCAGGACGGAGGGTCTGACAAGGACAGCTGTCTAGTCATTTGGATAGTACGAAAAACCAAGGTCCAGTGCACACATTGGCGTGCACGTAAAAGATCCCTTGACAGTTGGAATTCTATATAAGAGTAGGCCGTAGTGCCAGCTTTCCGGGCAAAATTTCCCTCATAGCACACTGTATGGTGTATGCCTGTCTTCATTAGCCCAGTTTGGAGCAAAATAGTAGGACGTTAAACCCCATTTCATTTCATTTCATTTCTTATGTACAAGTTGCGAGAATTTGAAATAAGATTAGGCTGTAGTTTCACTGTCCAGGCAAAATTTCAATGATACCCTTGGTGTGCATATGTTGCACATTGGAATGAACAGCTTTAGTTGTGTGAATTTGAAGAGTTATAATTTCTTGTCTGTTGCCACTTCGAACCTCCAGATAAGTTGAACCAAACGGCCCCGTGTTATAATAAATGGTTGGTGTATGTGGTTTTGTTGGTGTTTATAATTATAATATATATATTTATCAACAGGTGGATATTTAGGTGTTCTACTTCCAGGTGTATTTTTACATTTATTAAATGTTACAATAGATTATGAACCATGTCATCATATGTTATTACATAGTAAGTATATATACGGTTGTAGTCCAGGTCAATTAGACATATTTATTAAATGTTACAATAGATTATGAACCATGATATCATCATATATATACTCTTCAAAAAAAGTTGCGGATATTCAGAAACAATACAAAACTGCGGAAATGCACTGCTGTTTTTATTAGAGGTAACTAGTGTATGTTAAAACAGGCCAATTGCTTACACATGAACATAAACAGTTCATATGGGCAGCTTATCTGACGGCCCCATTTCACTCGCAAAGAGATACACTGTCAAAAGTGAAATAATGGACGTTTTTGTTTTTTGCCTTAATAATGAGTAATTGTTCCACCAATCCTCAGACATTCAGCAATTCGTCGTGGCATGCTCCTAATCAACCGTCCAATCACGATTTGGGGCAATCTGACCCACTCCTCTTGCAGTGACACGGCCAATTCTTGCAGTGTTGTCGGTTGACATACTCTCAAAGCATGTCAAGTGTCCATGACTATTTATCATATCACAACCTGCATAGGTGTTTGCATTTCAATATCCCCTACTTTTTTGGAAGAGTGTGTGTATATATATACACGGTTGTAGTCCAGGTCAACTAGACATTTATTAAATAGATTATGAACCATGTCATCATATGTTATTACATAGTAAGTTTATCTACATTTGTAGTCTTCTCTAAGTAACCTTTCCGGCGTGGTTCCCACTTGTCAGTGATGCAGGATGGGGGGCCTGACAAGGACAGATGTCTGGTCATTTAGATGGGACAAAAAACCAAGGTCCTGTGTACCCATTGGCGTGCACGTAAAAGATCCCTTGACATTTGGAATTTGATATATGAGTAGGCTGTAGTGCCGCTGTCCGGGCAAAATGTCCCTCATAGCACACTGTATGACGTATGCCCGTCTTCATTAGCCCAGTTCGGAGCAGAACAGTAGGACGTTAAACCCCATTTCATTTCATTTCTAAGTAACCTGGAATCTAGCAGCTATAAGCATCAAGCCATTGAATGGTGCGAAAAACTTCGGTACAACCAAATAGCCTACTCATTAGTGTGCCATTAAAAGAGCACTTGACAGTTTGAATTTGATGAAAACACTGTTGATATTGTTGACTAAGAAATAAATAACTGTTATAAATGAGATTACACAACACTAATAGATCAAGGTCGTCAGTTTATATACATGATGTGTATTAATTAGTTAGTTTTAATTGTTACTAATCAGGCAGTAGTCATTAAATAGGTGTTATGTCAGTAATATGTTACAAGTTACTTACAGCTGTGACTATTGAATGATATGCATCACTATTGTCCAGGTTTGTATATTCTATAGTGATAGGTGTTATAAATAATCACGCTTTTACACAGGTACGTGTAGTGACATCTTTTACAGCTAGTTTACACACCTGCTAATTAATGACAACTGTATAATTTATAATGACTTTCTATACATACTAAACATTAGTTTAGAATACTGCCACTATATGATTTAATGACAAAAATTGTCATTACTAAAAGACCTAGCTTCATTAGTCAGTGGTATCAGCTTGCCACTGAAAGAAGACAGAATTGCCGATGTCCATACAAAATTGCCCTCCTATAACACACTGCATGGTGTATACCAGAAGCAGAAGAAAACATCTACCAAACAATATGTTTTTTTTACTAAATAAAGGGAAGAACTTCCCACAAAACTCAATCCATGGCCTAAGGCCGAAAACGGAAAGATTACAAAATCATATTCTAAAAACAGGAAGCAGCTTCGGCTCTCCTATTTCTTGTCTGCGATATCACTTATGTGGAAGCAGACGTTAAACACCAGGATACTACTACTACTACCTGTACTCATTAGCCCAGTTGGTGCAGAAAAGTAGGACGTTAAACCCTGTTTCATTTCACAGCAAGTCTTGTGAGTTATATTTGAAACCACAAATGGCAATCTATCACAGACAGTATTGATGTAACTGAACTTAGTCTTATTATTATATATGTTATAGTAGTTCAATCAAGGCAGTTCAAGAAAATTGGGATTATTATTACAAAATGGCTGAGCCACAAAATTGCAGGAGCCTTATTCACGAAAACTAAAGTTTAAATACTTTAACGATGCAGCCTTTTCATTGGTTAGGCTTTAAATTCCTAGTATAAATTTTAGCTCTTGGCCTATGAAAAGGCTGTATTCTTAAAATATTTCAGTTTAAGTTTTTGTGCATAAGGCCCCTCCCTGGTAGGTGGATGTTTCATTGCCTGGCAACCAATCTTTTCTTATTTTACAGGTGGGCTAAATGAACTGGAACTAGTCACTTCCACATCATCATTATCAAACCCTGGTGACAACTCCCGATCTAATGAAACGTCGCTTGATACCGACATACAATCATTACAGGATGACAGGAGAGTTTTATCTCCAGACCACACCTCATCACTAGATACTAGTCCATTAACACTGTCCATGTCTTCCACATTACCTGAAGAGGATAACGAGTCGTCCATTACTACTTCCAGTCTACCTATTATTATGTCTGTGATGAGCGAGAATTCTTTAACGATACGCTCACTGACATCTTGTTTTGGCTTTACACGAGAATCATCAGGTATATTATCAGATATACATGAAGAGTCCAGGGGAAGAACGATCTAAGTCACATGTTGGTCTTTTTGCATAAAAGGCAAAACAGACTTTTGGAAGAGAATGCTTGATGCCAACAGAACAACGAGTGGGTTTAATTACAACTTCAAAATTATGTTTAATACGAATCATAATTACCAGTTCAACAACTGACTTCAACTTTTCAGCCAAATTAAGGTCAAATAAAGGGTACAATGGACGTATTTGTTCGGGAGGCCATTTCAGAAGGGCCTTGGTTTGATGTGACTTCGATCATTTTTACCTGAAATTCATTGTACCACAGAAAGCTTATACAATTTGCTACCAGATGGCGCCATTAACTGGGGTATGTTCATAAAGTGACTAAAATCGTTCTTCCCCGGGGCTCTTCACTTGAAATCAAATATTTAAAATACATTATCAGATATACTATAAATCATACATTAATATATATTAAAATACAGATATGAAGTCATCCTTTCATGTTGGCGTACCGTTATTTCAAATAATGTATGGGCAACTTGCCAGTCGAACATTATTTATACTTGATGAAATATTGGACTCGTGTGACGTATTTCAGTGCAAAGCGTGTGCCAGATAGTGTCTGTATTTTAAGTTGTTTAATGGTCACGAGCTAAAGGCATTGCATAATATATTGAAGCAACACATGTGCAGTATCAATGTAGTACTTAATGTCTCGTTCTCGACCATTAAAAAAACAATTTTGAACTTAATATATAAGAGACTAATTATTGGCTATGCTCTCAGCTTCTGAGACTTGCTATTGCAGAAATGGCTATATCAAAGCTCTCATTTAATGGCTATACCACAGCTCTCGTCAGTTCTATTTGCCAGTCTTGTTTGGCAGTGACATTGACTGACTAGAGAACATACAATAACACATCACCACAAATTCAGTTAAATTTATAGTGGGGATCACGTGGCTAAGTGGGTAAGACGCTGGCTCGCTAGCCTGGAGGTCGGGTGTTCGATCCCTGCATTGGCCGAGAAAGTTCATCCAGATTTTCCGGCGTGGTTCCCCCTTGTCAGTGATGCAGGACGAAGGGCCTGACAAGGACAGCTGTCTAGTCCTTCGGATGAGATGAAAAACCGAGGTCCCGTGTATATATTGGAATGCACGTAAAAGATCCCCTGGCAGTTGGAATTCGATATAAGAGTAGGCGATAGTGCCGCTGCCCGGGCAAAATTTCCCTCATAGCACACTGTATGGCATATGCCCGTCTTCATTAGCCCAGTATAGGAGCAGAACAGTAGGACGTTAAACCCCATTTCATTTCATTTCATTTAAATTTATAGTTTTCATTATGCATATCACCACTTAAAACATATATTGAAAGAAATGGTTGTCATATTCTTTGAAAAAAAAATATCTTACTAAACTGGGGTAAACAAAATATGTGTAAAATGTATAAAAGTTTTGTATCTGATGTATGAAAACTCCTACAATCAATGGGGGGTGGGGTCGAATGGTTAGCACGTTGTGCGTGCTGTATCATAAGGTCTGTCATTGAGTCAACTGCCATGGTTTTGATTCCCAGGTTGTATATAACAAGGAGTAGCTTCGCCTTTCCAACCTCGTGGGTTTTCTCCGGGACCTCTGGTTTCCTCCCACTGCTTAAGATCCCTACACGCAAGCGAATTATTGAAATAAAATTGAACCATGTGTTAGTCCCAAAATGACCTAGTTTGGGTCGAGTGGATGTTACACCTCATTTTTCTCTCCACAGAATTCCAATACTCGGTCAATTCTTCCTTACTTGAAAACTTACGACACTCTTGTATTCATATTCCTGAAGCAATGGCCCGAAAATCCCTCTCTGGCCATTGCTGGATTGATTTCTGATACTTAAGGTTTTGAGAGAGTGTGTCTGTCCTTCCAGTTCAATTAAATCTCAACAGCAACATGACAGCCCTTCATTAAATCTTGGGTATTCCCTAAAACTTTTGACAGTGCTTGAAGGTATTAAAAACGGTGAAAGTAAATTTTCATCTCCAAACAGTATTGTTTACATCGTAGTCATTTTGATAGCCTTGTTTGTCACACAATTAGTTTTTCTGCAATAGTCTGCTATGCACTGGTTAATTGGGTGTAGTAAATTTCCTGAGTCATAACGTAACGTTATGTAAACATATTTAGAGCTCTGTTTTAACCCGAATGATATTGTTACGCAGTTAGGTATTGGTTGTTAATCGGACTATTGACCAGTCATAATTTTGAATAGAAATTTGCTTTCATTATGGCAGTGTTTTGTTTATAAATGGACATATTATTATTATTATTATAGGTAGTAATCTTGTATATGATCAGAGAAGTGGAATTGTATGGAAAATATCTCTCAATCCTGAAACTTTATTAAAATATTTTCAAAGAGCATCATGGCCGACCCGTTTGGCAATACTACACTATGTACTTACTAGAACCAAAGATTTTTTTTATGTCAAAAAGGCAAGTATCCTCACCTGATCAATGTAATATCTCTCAAGCATTAGATCCAGATAAAGTTGGTAGTCTTTGTTGTCCCCCGCCTTTCGAAGAAAGCAGGGGACTATTGAAATGGGTTCGTCCGTCTGTCTGTTTTGTCTGTTCGTCACACTTTTTGGGACACAATAACTCTCCTTCTAATTGACCTAGAATGTTCTAACTTGGTGTAGGTGTTTATTCAGTCAATATTTTGATGGAGTTCGAAGATGAGCATTTTCCGCTTAGGGTAAGCAAAGATAAGCAATTTGATAGGTTGATGCTTTGGGACACGATAACTTTAGTTCTAATTAAGTGAGAGTGATGAACTTTGGTGTATAGTTTCATCACATCAATACCTTGACTAAGTTCGATGATGAGAATTATCTGCTTAGGCTAAGGAGCAATAAGCATTTTGATTGGTCAAGACTTTGAAACATAACAACTCTGCTTCTAATTGAGGTAGAATGTTTAAATGTTCGTCTTGATTGAGTTCAATCATTAACATATCGAGCTAAAACTAAGCAGAGATAAGCAATTTCCTTGTGTCATCTATTTATTTGGGGATTTCGGCGGGGGACATCAGCCTCACTGTTAGCCGCAGTGGCTCAGTGAATAAGACACTGGTTCACCGTCCAAGATGTCTCAAGTTCACTCCTAGTGCTCTCCAAGAAAGTTCCTCTGGATTTTTTAGCGAAGTTTTCCCTTGTTGGTGATACAAAACGGGGCGTCTGACAAGAACTGTGTCTAGCCGTACAGATGGGATAAAAATTCAAGGTCCTGTATACAAATAAAACAACCATAGCACACTGCATGGTGTAAGCCCATCTTCATTAGCCCAGTCAATGCAGAAAAGTAGAACTTCATTTAAAGTACTTCTGGGTCCTGTTTCACATGTAAATCAAAAATTTTACAATACAAATCTTTTGTGTTTGTGAGTATGTAGTTTTACGTACACTTCATGAAAAACAAACCCATTACCATATTTTCCGGTGTATTACTAATATTTTTACTGTTCCGTATACTCTTGGCCATTAATGGCAGTCTTAACATGCACCTGTTCAAGGTCAGTGGTGTTATCATTCAAGTTGACGAATAGAGCGGGGCATGCAATCATATAAGCATTTTCATTGGCTCAATATATATAAGTCATCGGTAATAGTGATACAACTGTTAGTAAATTGTTTGAGTTGCATTTCGTATGTAGTAATTGAACTGGATAAACACAGGAAATAACACCATTCTGTTGTGGTTGTTTATTACAGAAGTAACATACAATACAGTAAATATGCGGGGCTGCCGACAACCAGTATCGTAGGGCAATTTGCGAGATACATATTTTGTCCTTTGCTAATCAAAAATTAAAATCTAACGGTTTTGATTCGCAGTAGTATGTCTGTCATTTTGGATATTAATACGAAGATTTATCCACATTTTGAAGACTAGAATGTTTTCACAACGTGTATAAAGTATCAAATAAAATTTTATAAGCAAAACTGAATTCTCTGTGTGACATTTTTTTCTTGACTACCCAGACACAATTCATTATACTATATAATACAGGGACATAACTCTATGAATAGGGACTATTAAACCGGACATAGGGAATCGAGTAGTAACACTCACGCTAGGAGACGTGTCAATTTCGAGTAATTATATCAGTATTCAATTTGAAAAAAAAATAAGTCCAGTTTATCCTCCATGTATTGTAAATAAAATATAAACAAAATAAATGATAAATGATAAAATGATAAATCTAAGTAAGAATTCACATATTATTGTTTATATATCGCATTTGTCTAGTTAATCCAGATTATTCGTAAAATACCTTGTGCGCCCGATTGAACAAAAATAGTAACACATGATAAAAAGCAGACGAAATTGTTTTCTAATGAAGAAATAAGAATTAAATGAATTGGGCTTTGGAAGCCACTGCCAAGAATTGGCTTCAGACATAAGACCTAACCAAAAGTCTTACATCCCATTCACAAACTGTCACAGCTACCTGTAGCAGTGTTAAAAATATCTTAAGATTTAAGAATGAAATCTAATCATTTGTTATGAATTAAAATTAAAGTAATATCTTGTTATTTAGGTGTTTTATGTTGAAACTGAAAAACTGCTAATCAATTTTTAAATTTGCTAATTAAATTTGGCAAAACTGGACTTTTTGATTAGCACCGAAAAATGACATACAGCCCTGGAAATATGCTATTATTGTAAGGCTGATTTAATTTCATTATTTACACTTAAAGGGTTGAAAAATTGTTAAAAACACCAAAATAAAAAAGTCCTTGAAAATCAAAAAGTCACCTTAAAATACACTTATAATAAAATCGCTGTCGTGAGAAGAGAGGGCGGGTCTCTCTTTGGCATAATAAAAACAAGTTAAAACAGGAGGTCCAGCTGACTGATGTTTGGTGTCATCAGGGTGGATAGAAAAAACCCAGTGGGGAAAAATAATCTGCTTGCTTTGTGTGGAAAAGCGAAGTGCTCGCAGTAAAAACCACATAGCTGGACCCGTGGGTTATTTACATATTAAAAACTGTCCGTCCAAAAAGTTCCACATAATTAAAATTAGTTAAAAGTTCCTTAAACATACATTATGCAAGAGCTAAATCTGCCTATTTCAGGTCTTTCTTTAGGCCTGAAATGTTATCTAAATTATTAATTAGACATTAATTAACTTATCCAGACCAATCAACTCTCGATGTCATCGCTAGCCTGTAATATTTACTGGATTAGGATCTTGAATTGCTGCTCAACTTTCATTCATGATTTAATAATGAAATGAATAATTGAGATTGTTTTTTAAGGTACCGACTTTAGTAATGATGATCGAGGCTAGGCCGAAAATTCAATCGTTAAATTCTCGGTTCAGAGTGAATCAATTTGACTGAAATTTTCAGCAAATTCCCTTTACATTATCTAGATTTTAAATAGTATAGTGAGAACTGCCAGCTCTTTATCTAATCTCCCATAATGTATCTTTAATGCGGTTCACAAATTCAGTGTTTAAGAGTTATAGACATTCCATTCCATTAAACGCTGAATTCTGTAGAATACAATTACTGTTTATTACAGAGTTTAAGAGTTGTAGACATACCATTTGGGTTTTTCTTTAAAGCGAGAATTTCATATTTTCTAAGAAAGTCAAAACATAATTATTTCATGTCTTTTGGTCAATAGGTTATTAACTTACTATTATACGACCATAGGCATTATTTCTCACCCTTAAAAATCATTGACACAGGAAATAATAACGCAATTACCTCCCTTATTTTCCTATTGCCTCCATGCATTAGCCATCTTCAAACGTTGGAATTTGAAGTTGAAAATGATATTTTTGCCAATTTCTCAGCTGGCAATAGTGAATTATAGGATTAATAGGATTATTCTTTAACAAGGTAGGACTGTTTATGGATACCATCTATATTAAGCTTTATTTTAATAAATTTTAAAAATATAACTTAAAAATATGAAATTGCAACTTTAACTCTTAAACGCTGAATTCGGTGGAATACAATTACTGTTTATTACTGAGAGATGTTTTGACAAGGATTCTCTTGTTATTATTCAGCAAAAAACATTAACACTTGGTTGATTAGGATGTATAGCTCTTCCTTTAATTAGCACTTAATACTAGCTTAATACCATGGGTTACCATAGGATTGTCCTTAAAAATTAACACTTAATATTGGTTGATTAGGATGTATAACTCTTCCTTTAATTACCTCTTAATACGATGCGTTTCGATAGGATTGTTCCTATTGAATCCACGATCTGCTACATGCGGGCGTGCAGATGCATTCTGATATGTTTCGATATGATCAACAAGATGGCTACGGCTGATCTCAATAAGACCTGATAGGATCACCACGATCCACGATTAAAATCACTATTTCGATTGTAGCAATAATCGTGATACTGGGAACCTGGCATATAAAAAACATCCCTCCCTTATTGTTGTATTGTTTACTTTCAGATATTTAAAGATATTTGTGAAAGTGTAACAAATACAGAAGCAAAGAAAATTATGGCAGAATATTTAGTTGGTAATATTTTTTTGAATAGTTACATAAAAAAAATCCATTCAAGACTGTTTCGACATGAGATCAGCCCTTTTAAATGAAGAGCTGTTGATATTGAAGGCGACTTACGATTAGTCAGCGTTTTTAAATCTCGGTTTCAAATTTTATATTCTGCAATGATATAATGAAAGTTGTTGAGAGAAATTGAATGGATGCAATGACTCAACGTTTTTCTTGGCTAAGTGTTAGTCGAGAGAGTTCCTCTGGATTTATAAATTCTCAGTGGTAAGCAATAGCGTCTATTTGTTATGATGGTACGAAAAACCAAGGACCTGCGTACATCAGCATGCAGGTTAGAGAACCTATTACAGGTGGAATTTTATGGGCAAAATTTACTTCATATCACAAATCCCATGTCATTTCATTTCTGTCTGGTTTTAATTATTTCTCTAAATAATAACTGAATAAGTTTGATCCATGAAAACATATTACAAAGATGTTAATTATTATATTGTAATTCTGTATTTATTTAGCATCTACGTATATGAATATGAAGAGACAGCTAGAAAGAGATCTGTTACGACTTTTACCCTTTACCTCAGTTGAACCATATAAAGGACAGTTTGAGAAGGTAAATCATGCATATATATGATGTAAAAATAGCCAGCCAACAGAACCATGCCATAATGAACATTGTATATTTTGACACCAGATGGGTTTATATTGTTTGAATGTTTCAGATGATAATATTTAGCTAATAAACAATCATCCTCGTTTTCCCCAGTGGTCTCATTCCGTTCTATTCCACTATACCCTTGGTTAATCCATAGGGTTTTCACATTTTCAAATTATCTGCTCTGGCCTTGATCGTAGCTTGAGTCTGCAAACCAATCAAAAAACAGTTTACAAACCAGTCTTTCTGAGACTCTTTTGCCTCTTTATGTAAATGTTCACAACAATATGGCGGCTTGTTGCACCACAATGAGATAAAGTTACTTCCCTTTACCAACTCCCTTTGCAATTAACAATTTATGGGATTGGTCGATAAAAGTAGCACAATCATCAAGGGCAGATAACTTGAATACATGTCCCCCCCCCCCCCCATGGCCCATGGATTAACCCAGAGGTTAGTGAGGTAGAGTGGAATGAGACCACTGGTTATAAAGACGATGATCAGAAATGAGAGGGACTACAGCAAGTTCAGTGGCAATACGCAAGTTGACTGTCCTTATTAAATTCCTTTCTTTCAGATAAAAAGATGGCCTAATTCTCTGAGAGGGAAAATATCTTTGACAGAGATATTTAACTGAGATATATAATTTTTTTGATTTTTTCAATGTCAGACTTTATAATAACAATATCCTGAACCTTTCGAAACATTTTAATGAACAAATATTTTTATAGAATGATAAAAGAGAAAGAATAGCATCCATTAAATATACAGGGGTTGATAGTATTAATATTACAACAAAAACAGCCAGAGAAAGACAATATCGACATTCAGAAGATTTATGGGATGCCTTACGGCGTTGTTTACGATTAAAACAAGTTGAACCAAAAGGAAGATTTAATCATACCATGATTGATTCAGAAAAACAACCCAGAAAATATCAGGTATATTAAAATATTGTAAATCCCTGTAACAAATCTCAGTCCAAAAATGGTCATGTTTGTTCAGTATTTACAAAGATCCCAAAATAGTTTGGGATAATTTTTATAATGGATCGCTTCCTTTTCACCCCCACGCTATCACTAAGATCTACGCTGATCTGCACTGTTCCAGGGATTGATTCTTCTACCCACTACTACTACTTTAGTCTGATGTTTATTCGCTGCAGTCTTGGAATTATATAATAGTTGTGACATCACAGACATTTTCGCCCCCAATGTATCACTGAGATCTACGCCCACCTGCACTGTTCCAGGGATTCATTCTTCCACCCACTACTACTACTTGAGTAGGATGTTTATTCATTGCTGTATTAGAATTATTTACAAAGATATGATGGATTAAACGTTTTGCAATATTGACATCCTCGGCAGATTATATGAACCGTGTTGAGCAAAACCTTTTGATGTCACTGTTTTTAATTGGATAGAATTCAAGCTGGGAGATAATAGGAGTTATCTTATTCTCATGTTATATATCTTATCTGTACTGTTACTTTACCTTAAGCTGAATATAAGTTTATATATATAAACCGGTCATTCATTTCTTTTTAACCCTTTAGTCCCTGTTACATGTAAATATTGACTATTCTGGTTCCTGAACAAAAATCAGAGAAAAGTCATATAGTTCATATCAGTATATCCCTGGACAGTATTTAAAACAATGTTCCTTCAGGGCCTCAAACCACCTGAATTTCTGTGGTGAATATAGTTGTTTGCATTGTAAGACTGTATATATCTCTGGACAGTATTTAAAATACTGTTCCTTCAGGGCCTCAAACCACCCGTGTCTCTGTGGTGAATAGTTGTTTGCATTTTGAGAGAGAGAGAGAGAGAGAGAGTGAGAGAGAGAGAGAGCGAGAGACTCCACTCAACACAAACTAGGTCATTTCGAGACTAACATATGGTTTAATTTTATTTCAATAATTCGCTTGCGTGTAGGGGTCTTTAGCAGTGGGAGGAAACCGGAGGACCCAGGAAAACCCCACGAGATTGGAAAGGCGACCTTACTCCTTGTCACGTACAACCGGGGATTCGAAACCTCGCCAGTTGACGCAATGACAGGCCTTATGATACAGCGCGCACATGCTAACCATTCAGCCATTCAGGCCCCCTTTTGCATTGTAAGACTATGTACTTGTATATCCTTGGACAGTATTAAAACACTGTTCCTTCGGGCGCCTCAAACCACCTGAGTCTCTACGGTGAATAGTTCTCCGTGTTGTAAGACAGTATACTAATTTTTGGGGTACCACAGCCATTCTTGTGAATCTGTGGTTTGGTGCCATCTAAGAAGAAGCTACTAGTTGCAGGCAGTTTGGGGCGGTCAATGTGACAAATAGTGACCAAAATATTTTTTTATATGGCCATATTGGGTTATAAAATCCTTCAGCTCCTGTTTGTACATTTGTAGAAAAAAAGTCAATCTGAGTAAAATACAGATCTATATTTCGTTTCGTTTTTTTATACTTTCGATGGCCTACACTACATGAAGATCTGACCAGTTGTAGCGATAGGTCGTGTCAGAGGTCATACGAGTGGCTTTTGACCCTATGACGTCAGCATTGGTGTTACTAGTGGATTACCCACAGTTCTGTGCAAAACACGCCTAAAGCTCGCCATAACAGACCGTTTCATTGGCTAATAGCTCACATCATTCAGCACACGTCAATGATAACAACTCTTCCAGATCCTAGTGTAGTAAAGACAAGTCAAACGAAATTTTGAACTATAAAAACAAAACGAAATAGGATCTGTCTTTTAATCAGATTGAAAAAAGGTAATTATATATAAACATTTTAATTTGAAAAAGCTAATTTAACAACATCAGTTTATTGAATTGTAGAAATCAGATAAAAGAGAACAGTCGTATTTTCTTGGAAATGTGAAAGAACAGCGTAGTGGGTAAGTTAGAAACTACATTACAGTCCAGGAAAAATTATGAGATAAAAACATTAATGTCAAACTTTATTAGATCTCTGGCTAACTGTAGATATTGCCACCAATTGTTCATACCTTGACAAAAGTGCTATTTAACCCACAGTCAGCACTCTCAAAATTTGTCCCATTGGTCAATTTGTTTATCTCAGATTGTTTATCTCAGCTCATAAATTTGACTGCTTGTATTCTTTTTTACGATTTAACTCTTAAAAATATCCTATTTCGTAGATGCTTAAATTCTTAACACTATCTTATTTTATGGGCAGTTAAATTCTTAAAAAAAATACCCTATATCATGGACAGTTAAATTCTTAAAACTGTATTATTTTTGGGACCGTTTAATTCTTGAAAATGCCCTATGGAAGGTAATTCACTGACAGATAAATTCTTAAATGCTTTAATCTTTTCTGTCGTCTGAGTTATAAAAATTGATCTACTTTCACTTTGCAGACAGAGTTTTACATTATCAACATCAACTACAGGTCATCAGAGTGTGACAGAGGCCATACTTGGTAGTACGCCTGCTTTTTTACAGGGTGCACATGGGGAAGATAACTCTTATAATAATAATATCACATTACAAGTAAGCACATCTTGATCACCAAAAATATACTTAAGAGCGTGTCCACGAGAGCACCATGCAGAAATTGAAAAAAAAGATAACCCGGGGGGTCAGCAAATTTCAACCATACTTGGTCTATGGGGACCCCTAAGCGACAGAAGTCATCATAGGAAAGGGGCTTAACTGGTGTATAATTTTGCAGAATCAGGCAATGATTATTCTCATCTGTATTCAGTAGTTAGTAGCACGGAAGTGCATAAATGTAAGGACTGGCATAGCAAGCTTTTATATTAGCACAATTTAACCAAAGCAGCACCTTTTCAGCAATGGCCAACGATTATCTTCAAATGACTACTGATCATCACCATTACTTGTAATATTTCGTAATTTCAACGTGAATCGTGTCAAATAGATCATTTTGTTTAAAATCATAATATTTTTGTGACAAAATCTGACTTTCACGCTTGCTGGATAGCCATAGGGAAGAGTCATAAGTGGTGTGTAATTTTCAGGGATCAGACCACTGTTATTAAGATCTGTATTCATGAGCAGATCATCGTATAAATTTGACTGACATGACTATCATAAACTTGATATCTATTAATTTGTACACCTACTCATGTAAAGAAGAACCATAAGAAGAAACATTCAGAAGTGTTCATGTAGGGACATTTAATGTCTGGTATTGAAATCTCTGAATCATGGCATAGTTCAAAACAGGATTTATCGCACTCCAGGAATATGTTGACCGCACGTGCCAAACTCCTACATATACCTACGTTGGAGCAGAAGTGCTCACTTACTTAGATTCCTACGTTTGAGTGTAAATGCTCTCTGACCTTACTTCAAGGTTTTTGGACCCCAGAGTACTGTTTTATTTTGTAGTACTGTTTTTGACCTCTTCTCCTTCAGGGATTTCAATATGGAATTATCATAGCCTCCCGATCTGTAATGACTCTCCATGAAAACTTCCAAATGTTTCTATACAATGATCGGCTCCTAAATACAGATGGGAATAAGCTGGTCTGATTCCTAAAATTTGTTTGACCAAAATAACCTATTTGGCACAAGGAACATTGGCAGAAAAGGTGTTGTATAGTCGTCTTGCTGATTGTGTGACTACGACTTACTGTCACTGGATCATCTACAATCCCCTCATCCTTAAAACCTGTTACAAGAGCGAACATGTACATCCCTCAGTAACACTTCTTTTACCCAAGAGCTAAAATATGCTTACACTGAATCGTGTATCATATTTCACCTTTCATTATATCATATTTATAGAAGACGATTTGTTCTGTTTAAATTGCATTGGACATTCGTGAAACTTGTCCCTGGTCTAACACATAGACTTTAGATCCTAAGGTCTGTCATTGAGTTAAGTGGTGTGACAGCATGCCGGTGATATGGTGTGGTGTTGTTTGTCCAACCTCATGGATATTCTCTTTTCCCACAAGTGTATTATTGAAGTAAAATTGTACCATATGTTAATCCCAAAATGACCTAGTTTGTGTTGAGTGGACCTTAAACCCCATTCCTCTCTCTTAAGTCAAAATCACACTTGCTAACGAATATATGTATTAACTTTGTGATGATGTCCATAGATACAGTATGCATCACCATATTATGCTAGTCCCCAAATGACCTAGTTTGTGTCCAGTGAACTTTAAATCTCATTTTACTTTGTTCCTCTCATGTCTAAATCATCCTTGCTAACGACTAAATGGAATATATTAAATTTGTAAAGATGTCCATACTTCATCTGGGGTATTGATAGACGGGACATTTTATCCTAATTTTTGGTGTTTTTAATATATTTCTCCTGTTTTTATTATGACTGTTCCGGTCATTTTTATTTTTTATTTTGTTAGTAGGAAGGTTGCTAGTTGTGGGTAACATTCAACTTTGGTCCTAGTCCCTGCAAAGAACGAGCTATAGCCTCTTAAACATTGGTTTTCATTAAATTCAATTTTCAGAGAGACTTGGGTATCCGGCCAGTACCAAGGTATCATTAGCAGCAGAAACTTCAAACTCCAGTGTGAAGGAGGAACCTGAGTGGTCCTACTAAGGCCCAAAATTTTGTCTATCCAAATCAATTATTGTCCGAATAGCAGGTCATTCAAATTTGGATCCAAAATTGCCTATTTTTGGCTTATTTTTCAATTAAAAAATACTTTTCCAATTTTCCAGGTCGGTATCAACTGAATCAATCTAATATTTTGTGGGGATGTATCTGGGTACTAACCCATCTCACAGAAAAAATTTGGTTCAAATCCCTGACCCAAGGGTTATCACCCCCTGCATGGTGCTCTCGCGGACACGCTCTTAAAATGGAAATTGTATCTGAAAAGTAAAGTCAATATCTTCTATGAAATAATGTTTTTGTGCTCAATGTTACCCAAATCTACTCAAATCCGAAGTGGTAACCAATTTGGCTTGGTTTCTTGCATGGTTAAATATTTGTTTGTTTCCAAGATTTCATATGGTGCATATTTTATAACAGCTAAGAACTTGTTGAACCTGTTTTTTGGGGTGTAGGACAATTGCCGGCGGGACAACTCCTGGCAGGACAACTCGAGGCGGACAATTGCTGGTTGGACAATGGCCGGCAAGGACAACTGCCGACAAGACAACTGTCGACCATTTTATTATTTATTTTTGTTATTATAGTTTATAACTATTTTGCCAGTGATTTTATTTGCGCTTTTTGGTATAGTTTATTAAATGATAAATGAGGCAACAGTTATAAACTATACTTAAAAAGATGTTTATATGTAATCATATATACTGTTCATCTTATTGCCAATGATTTCATTGATTTTTAGTATGGTTTATTAATTGATGGAGGAGAACAATACATGTAATCATTATCAAAACATAACTTAACAGTACAAAGACTGCATACTGTGTACTAAACATTGTCATATTGGGGGGTTGGATGGCTGAATGGTTAGCGTGTGTGTGCTGTATCATAAAGTCTGTCATTGAGTCAACTGGTGTGGTTTCGATTCCCAGGTTGTACGTAACAAGGAGTAGGGTTGCCTGTCCAACCTCGTGGGTTTTCTCCGGGTCCTCCGGTTTCCTCCCACTGTTAAAGATCCCTATGCGCAAGCAAATTATTGAAATAAAATTAAACCATATTTTAGTCCCGAAATGACCTAGTTTGTGTCGAGTGGACGTTAAACCCCATTTCTCTCTCTCTCTATGTCAGTGAGTGCTATTATAGATAGCCAGTCAATCACTTAGTGAGTGCTATTATACACAATGTGTTAATAATAAGTAAACTGTGTAATACAATAGGGGTTATTAAAGGACAATATATTGGTGTCAGTCATTATTCCACATGTGATGAAACTGGTTAAACACGTTCCAAATATAATTTTAACAGAGATCATTGATACAATAGATGCGTTGTGAAGCTTTCAAGAAAGGGAAGTGACGAAAGCAAAAGGAAAACACAAGTTATCCTTCTATATAACTGACTGAAGTGACGAGTGATAACAGATACATTACATGGGCAAATTTCTGCTCACTAATAATTCCTTTGAAGACTAAAAGTTGTTATGTGAGGCTGTGAGAGGATATCTGATTATTAAAAACAGTATTTAAATGTCACTAGATAAAGGAAAACGAGAAAAATTGAAATAGGCCCTACATTCCCTTGTTTTATTCATTCTATACTTAATAAAAACGTGGTAATGCACGGACAGTCAATTATTTTTTTGAATTGTCAAATATCCTCCCACAGTCCCATATAACAACTTTGGGTTTTCGAAGGAATAATTAGTGAGCAGAAATTCAGCTGTGTATCTGTTATCACTCGTCACTTGAGTTGGTTATATAGAAGGACAACTCGTGTTATGGGGCGCCCATACTGATATAGGCACGTTGGTCATTGGCTTCATATTGCATCCAATGGAAAGGGTGTGGTTCGGCTTGGCCTGTTGGTCGTTGGCTTTGTATTGTGTCCAATGGAAAGGGCACGGTTCGGCACCCGGGGGTGGGGTTGGGGGGAGGGGATAGCTGTAAATAAGTTGTGTTTTGATTTAATTGGAGTAGCTGTTCGTTATTTATTTGAAAAGATCAAGTAACGTTATTGGTTTTATTTTAAACATTTCTTTGTTATTTTATCTTTGTAAGATGGAAGTCGGCCTTACTGAACATATAGGACAGAATTTAAAGAAAGATACCCGAGCCAAGGCTAAGAATGTTGCTCAAGAATATATGGCTTGTCAGGTGAGCTTGGATTAGGGTCATTTCCATTGGATTTTTTAGTCCATTTGTTTTGTCAAATCCACTGATAAAGCCAAATAAATCTAATTTATTTTCTTTTAATAGACCAGTGGTTAGAATAGCAATAATTAAGTGAGCCTAGAGTTCTGTGGGCAGAGGATTATTTTGATCAACTTATATGAAATAAATTACATCATTTAATTTCTATTTAAAGTGATAGTTCCTCTTCAATATAGAAATATATTTTTTTTTGGAGGGGGGGGGGGGAGGGGGCGGGGGATTTGCTTTAAAACTGAAAATATAATGTAATATCCTTTGATTGAAGAGAGCCACATTGGCTAAGTGAGTAAGATGTTGGATTGCTAACCTGGAGGTCCTGTGTTTGATCCCTTGTCTGTGATGCAGGACATAGGGCCTGGTAAGGGACAGTGTATAGTCGTTCGGATGGGATGGGATGAAAAACTGCGATCTCCTGTACACATTGGCATGTAAAAGAACCGTTGACAGTTGGAATTCAATATAAGAGTTGGCCGTAATGCTGCTGTCAGGGCAAAATTTCCCCCATAGCACACTGCATCGAACATGCCCGTCTTCATTATGGCTAAGTGGGTAAGACGCTGGCTCACTAGCCTGGAGGTCAGGTGTTCGATCCCTGCATTTGCCGAGAAAGTTCATCCAGATTTTCCGGCGTGGTTCCCCCCCCTCCCTGTCAGTGATGCAGGATGAAGGGCCTGACAAGGACAGCTGTCTAGTCGTTCAGATGGGACAAAAAAACCAGGTCCCGTGTACACATTGGCATGCACGTAAAAGATTCCTTGACAGTTGGATTTCGATATAAGAGTAGACCGTAGTGCCTCTGTCCTGGCAAAATTTCCCTCATAGCAGAACAGTAGGACGTTAAACCCCATTCCATTTCATTTGATTTGTCTTCATTATCCCAGCTGTTGCAGAAGAGTAGGAAATTAAACATCATTTCACTTCATTTCATTTCGTTTGATTGAATGTGTCTGATATATTATATTTTATCGACAGGTTCAGCAATCTAAACAGTTATGTCATTTATTGTGGAGTTTAATAGAACCAAATCTAGAACTTACTGGAGATCAGTTTATTCCTAAATTGTAAGATAGGTTTTTTATTACTTCATTATTTCTTATATCTTAACAAGCACATTAGAGTGGATCTCATGGGTTTTCGGTTATAGTATTGTTTAAGTGTATATTGTTATAGATGTGATCTGTATATATTGTAGATGTGATTTGTATATATTGTAGATGTGATTTGTATATATTGTAGATGTGATCTGTATATTGTTATAGATGTGATTTGTATATATTGTAGATGTGATTTGTATATATTGTAGATGTGATCTGTATATGTTATAGATGTGATTTGTATATGTTATAGATGTGAATTGTATATATTATAGATGTGATTTGTATATATTATAGATGTGATTTGTATATATTGTAGATGTAATATGTATATATTATAGATGTGATTTGTATATTTTGTAGATGTGAGTGTGGTGGGGCTGAAGAATATGAATTATTTATATTATATGAAAGATTTTATATGACAGTTAAAGAATGTGTATTTCCTCTTCCACCAGGTAAACATATTAATTACTATTTGAAAGAAACATAATGTGATTTTTGGTTCCTGGTTATTTTGAGAAAGCACAGGGTTCTTTAAATGGCCTTGTCTGTCACACCTTTTGAAATGTTAGATGTTCATTAAGTGAAGGTCTGTGATAAACATTGTATGCTTAGGCAAGTAATTAATAAAGTGTCATCTATTTTCGTTGGGGGTATTGAGGTGGAGGTCATCCACCTCACGGTTGGCTGGTTGGAAAAAATATGGATTCTCTATCTCATTAAAATGAAGATGCTTTTTTTGTTTTCGATATGTTTCAGCTCAAAATGTGAAGCCGTTTGAGAAATGATAGACATACAAGTTGATAGGGGTTCATGTAATTCTTAAAGTGACAAGGAGTAGGGTCACCTGTCCAATCTCGTGGGTTTTCTCCAGGTCCTCCGGTTTCCTCCCACTGCTAAAGACCCCTACGTGCAAGCGAATTATGGAAATAAAATTGAACCATGTGTTAGTCCCGAAATGTCCAAGTTTGTGTCGAGTAGATGTTAAACCCCATCTCTCTCTCTCTCTTGTTTCAAATTAGATTGATTGTATTTTTCAAGAATTGCATGATGCTCACAGAAGTTTATTATTTTGTCTTCCATGTTTAATATTTAAAGATTTTGATTAAACATACATTATGCAAGAGCTAAATCTGCCAATTGCAGGTCTTTCTTTAGGCCTGAAATGTATTCTAAATGCTGCATCTCCGCTTATGAAGATAGGGGCTACTAACAGCATTATATACATACAAGTCCAATGTCTCACCAATATTATTACTTAAACATGCATTATGCAAGAGCTAAATCTGACTTTTGCAGGTCTTTCTTTAGACCTGAAATGTTATCTAAATTAATTAGACATTAATTAACTTATCCAGACCATAATCAACTCTCGATGTCAATGCTAGCGTGCGATATTTACTGGATTAAGATCCAATTTGCTGATCAACATTCATTCATGATTAAATCATGAAATGGATAATCAAGGCTATGTTTTTTTTATCATACTGACTTTAGTAATGATCATCGAGGCTAGGCCCCAAATTCAATCGCTAAATTCTGAGTTCAGAGAGGATTAATTCGTCTGAAATTTTTAGCAAATTCCCTTTACATTATCTAGTGTTTAACTATTATAGTGAGAACTGCCAGCTCTTTATCTAATCTCCCATAATGTATGTTTGGCAGATGGTGTAGATTGCATGAATACAAACTAGGATGTAACCTCACTTGTCGACCCTCAAGCGAATTAGGTCGATAGTTAGTTTAATATTAACTGCTAATTTCTATATTTTCAGGTTTTCAAACATTTTTCACAGCTTTAGCATTTAGATGTTTAAATTTTCAGTAAGTTTTAGAAAAAAATTTCAAAAATGTTTTCACATTAATCTTGTGTTTGTTATATGCCCACATTAAATATGGATATTGTAGTCATTGGTGTCTGTCAGCCGTACCCAATTACTTGTGAACAATCTCTAGGTCTTGATGGATGGCTAAGTAGGTAAGACGATGGCTCACTAGCCTGGAGGTCGGATGTTCAATCCCTGCATTGGTCGAGAAAGTTCATCCAGATTTTTCCAACATGGTTTCCCCTTGTCAGTGATGCAGGACGGAGGGCCTGACAAGGACAGCTGTCCAGTCGTTCGGATGGGACAAAAAACGAGGTCCCGTGTACACATTAGCATGCACGTAAAAGATCCCTTGACAGTTGGAATTTGATATAAGAGTAGGCAGTAGCGCCGCTGCCGGGGCAAAATTCCCTCATAGCACACTGTATGGTATATGCCTGTCTTCTTTTTTTTGGGGGGGGGGGGAGGTATTGCAAATCACAAGAGCCTTACTTCCACATTACATTTAAATTCAAAATCTTAAATCTTGGGAATCTGATTAGGGACAAAATTCTTGAATGGATGCATTGAAACATGCAATTTTTGGATTAGAAATTTTAAATGTTAATAGCAGAGTTATATTTTCATATACATTATAACTATTAAAGTATGTGAATTAATGCAATATACATATATATATATATATATATACTGAGCGCCATGGAAAACGCATCACTTAGTTTTTCGCATCACTTAGTTTTTCGCATAACAAAAATGATCCTGTAAACATATCTTATTTATTTTGCTTCTTATTGTGAACAATATTCAAATGGGAACACATCAATAACAACACATTTGTACACTTATGGATGTTTAATCTGTAATCAACGGTACAAAGTCAGAGGGGGCAAAACCAAAAGTATGACACAGATGTCAGTAGCGTGTGTGTCCTCCACGGGCTCTTACGCACGCTGTGCAGCGATGTCGCATGGAATTTACCAATGTTTGAAAGAAGGCCTGGGGCAAATTGTTCCTTTCTTGGACAAGAGCAGCTTCTAAAGCAGCAATGGTGTGCATCTGTGGTCTCCGATACAGACGGCGTCCAATCTCATCCCAGACATGTTCTATCGGTGCCATGTCCGGAGACATGGCTGGCCAGTCCAATACATTGATGATGTTAGCAGCCAGGTAGTCCATACTAAAACGGGCGGCATGCGGACGTGCATTATCCCGTTGGAAGTGCTGCAGTTGTGGGTGCGCTCGAAACATCGGAACAACAATTGGTTGCAAGACATCATCACGGTAGGCTACAGCATTAACGCGACCCCTGCAAATGTGTAGGGCGGTCCGGTGATGAAATGTGAAGCCTCCCCACACCATTACACTTCCCCCACCCCATCGATTCGTTTCGAAGATGCAGCAGTCTGCAAGACGTTCCCCAAGACGTCTCCACACATGTTGACGGCCATCAGCGTGATAAAGATGAAAGCGACTCTCATCACTGAAGAGCACACTTTGCCAGTCTACTCTTCTCCATGTCTGGTGTCCTTGAGCCCATATCAAACGCTGCTGACGGTGATGATCCCTGAGGATAGCTCCAACATAAGGTCGTTGTGCACGGAGTCCTACTTCTCTTAGACAACGTCTTACCGTGTTGGCACCTACTGGTCCTTGTCCTCCGCCGACTGCTGCACCTGTTCGAGTCGCTGGGCGGAATCTGTCACGAAGATGAGTGACCCGGATGTAGCGGTCTTGAGCCTGGGTTGTAACGCGTTGTGGACCAGGACGTTGACGGTCACGTGTTGATCCAGTAACTCGAACACGTTCCACCAACCTTACAATAGTGGACTGATGACAATTGAAGTGTCTGGCAATAGCACGTGTAGACATGCCAGCCCTGGACATTCCCATGGCTTCATTCCGTTGATTTTCAGTAAGTCTTGGCATCTCTAGCTCGATTCCTTCACACGTCCAACAACAAATTACGACAGATTGACGTTTCACAGTTCATGTACTGCACATTAAGTTAAAAACATGCTTTTAAAGGGCTCACACACAATGCTGCACGTGAATATTGGGTTTTTCATGTGCATCTCGTGCAATTTTTTATTTTTGCACACAGGCAGTTATTTTTTGCGTTTGGGAGCATTGTTTGAAACAATAGTTCATAGTATTGCATAATATTATTCATACAAAACAACCTAGTAATAAAATATTTGGGGAAAAAAAGTGATGCGTTTTCTATGGCGCTCAGTATATATACAAATGGAATTTGTTCGAACTTTCTGGAATCGAGGTAAATATAAGTTAACTGTGTCAGGCATCTGGTATATATTAAGGATTAATAGGTGATAATTACATCCTGTTTATATCGATATCATTCTATTAATTTTCTTAAAAGTGATAATTGGATATTTCCTAATATTTTTTTAATATCAATTTGATTTATTTATAGCTAACTGGTTTATTTGTTTTTGAAAAAGGTTATTACAACCCGGAACGTCTGTTCTGTTGTTGTGCGAGGATTTCTAAATTAAAATTTTTTTTTTTAATATCAATCTGTTTTGTTTATGGCTAACTGGGTTATTTGTTTTTGAAAAAGGGAATTACAACCTGAAATGTTATATTGTTAAAAAATTTCTACTCTAAACCAAGTCTGTTGTTCTGCTTTTGTGCGGGGATTCCTAAATTTAAATTTATTTTTTTAATATCAGTTTGTTTTATTTATGGCTAACTGGTCAGGGGCAGATCCAGGATTTTCAGAAAGGGGGGTGCGTGCTGAACCCCACTTGGGCGTGCGAAGCCCGGCCCTTGGTGAGTGGACTGACGGCAATCAACCAAGTCACCACACAAGGACACAGGGACCGCCAACTTATGATAGAGATCACTACCATTTTTAAGTATTTTGGTTTTCCTTTCCCGCGAGAATATATGGGGCAAAAAATCGTTAGCCACTGCAAAAAATAAGGGTGGGGGGAGGCTTGTGCCGGGTGCCCCCCCCCCACCTGGATCCGCGCCTGCTGGTTTATTTGTTTTTGAATTATGTTTTTTTGTTATTTTTTTATTATTCCAGTTTATTTGTACAATATGTTGATCGAGGTGTCTTACAACTAACTGGTGATTTTATCCAACAAATTTTAGTGGGTATGTACATATTGTTATCAGTTTAGGCCAGGGCTCCTGTTGTAAGATTATGTCAGCCAGACATTTTATACGCCCACATTTTATATTTGGTGGGGTTGGGTGGCCCAATGTGTGGGAATGATCACAAGTGATATATTCGGATCCTTGGATCCTGGGGTGAAAAAGAAAAACAACCATTCTCCATGTTAGAATTCCAAATCTCTATCTTTATTACACAAAAAGGCAGAACTACAACATAAGGGAGACAACTTGTGTCTACATAAACATAGGGATCAGACCACAGTGATATAGAATATACCACAATGTGACACAAGGTCTGTCATTGAGTCAATGAGTGGTTTTGAGTCCCCACTTGTATGTGGGACAAGGAGTATGGTCACCTGTCCAATCTTGCGGGTTTTCTCTGTGTCCTCCGGTTTCCTTCCACCGCTAAAGACCCCTATGTGCTAGCTAGCGAATTATTGAAATAAAAATTGGACCCAATGTTAGTCCTGAAATGTTAAACACTCTCGGTCTCCGTCTATAAGTTATTTCCGAACACTGTTGTTCAGAAAGGAGTTAATACCAAATAAAATCTTTATTTCATGGTGTTGCATAAAGACTAAAGTAATGTACAAACAAGTAGTATAGTATTGTATTTATTAAATACCATTAGAAGTATCATGTGGTTTAATATTATATTGTACATCAACTTGTATTTATATTTGTAGATTTAAGTGATGAAGGAGAAGAATTAGAATATAAATACCAATTAATGTCAAAATTACCTAAGGTATGTCTATATTTATATGTCCGGGCTTCACTGTAACACTGATGTTGAGGTCCACTCACCACATCCATTTTTGTGTGTGTGTGTGTGAAATATCTTTGTTAACGCCTGATTCCTTAAAGATACATTATGGGAGAGCTGGCAGTTCTCACTATAATAGTTAAAAACTAGATAATGTAAAGGGAATTTGCTGAAAATTTCAGTCAAATTGATCCACTCTGAACTCAGAATTTAACGATTGAATTTTCAGTCTAGCCTCGATCATCATTTCTAAAGTAGGTATGATAAAAAACATAGTCTCGATTATCCATTTCTTGATTTAATCATGAATGAAAGTTGAGCAGCAAATCAGATCGTAATCCAGTAAATATCGCAGGCTAGCGATGACATCAAGAGTTGATTATGGTCTGGATAAGTTAATTAATGTCTAATTAATAATTTAGATAACATTTCAGGTCTAAAGAAAGACCTGCAATAGACAGATTTAGCTCTTGCATAATGCATGTTTAAGTAATAATATTGGTGAGGCACTGGACTTGTATGTATATAATGCTATTAGTAGCCCCTATCTTCATAAGCGGAGATGCAGCATTTGTTAATGACCCTGTTAACCACAGCCAGATATGAAGAGTGGGTTATTGCGTCCAAGTAAATGTATGTGCTGTTGCAAGACATTTTCTTTTGCGAGTCATTAATATTCTGTCTCTGAAAGGGCTGCAAGCTTCAAATATTAAATTTAAATCTTCGTAATTAAGGTCCTAGAGTCATAAATTTGAGGTTTAATAGATTTGAATATTGTGGACATTATAAATGAAATGAAATGGAGTTTAACGGTATACTGTTCTACTCCTAAACTGGGCTAATGGAGACGGGCATAGGCCATACAGTGTGCTAAGAGGGAAATTTTGCCCAGGCAGGGACACTATGGCCTACTCTTAAATTCAAACTGCCAAGGGATCTTTTAAGTGCACACCAATGTATACACGGAACCTGAGGTTTTTCGTGCCATCCGAACGACTAGACAGCTGTTCTTGTCAGGTTCTCGGTCCTGCACCACTGACAAGGGGAAATCATGTCGGAAGTGAACAGTATATGATATTCTTGTAATGTACATAATATACTGATATACAATGGCCTTTTCTTGAACATATATTTGTTGTTTATATATTTAGGAATCTTTAGAAGAATGTTTTAAACAGTGGAATCATCCAATAGCTGTAAGTTATATTGCCAAACAACAAACTACACAAATACTTACATTAGGTACGTTCATTTCATCAAAATTCTCTAGTCTGAAATCTCTGATTCTTTTACTGGCCTGTTTGATGGGTTATTTTCAAGTATGATGACAATACTGGGCTAATGAAGTCGGGCATATGCCATACAGTGTGCTATGAGGAAATTTTGCCCAGACAGCGGCACTACGGCCTACTTTATATCGAATTCCAACTGTCAAAGGATCTTTTACGTGCACGCCAATGTGTACACGGGACCTCGGTTTTTTGTACCATCCGAACGACTAGACAGCTGTCCTTGTCAGGCCCTCACTCCTGCATCACTGACAAGGGGGAACCAGATTACGTATGAAGTATGAACAGTTGGCAAACTTCTCTAAAGTAGTCCTAAATGTCTTACACTTTCACTTTCTTATTTAAAATCTTTGAACATCATTTAAGGGATTTAGAATACCTTGTTAACTACGGTAATCTGCAAATTAAATCCAAAAAAGGTATACCAGTCCTAAAAATTTCCCAAGAAATTTAAGAAATAGTTCTTGACTATGATATAAAAAATATACATGTAAAGTCTTTTTTTTTCTAGGTAAAGAGATTGAAAAGATGAAATTAGAAAAGAAGGTAGAAAGAGAAAGAGGTATATAATTTTGTTTATTTTTGTCACTAAAGCCAAGTCGTATTGCATGACTGTGTACTGTGATATATTGCAATATTTCTGTTTTTCGGAAGAGATAATATTATATGCATTTGACATTTGAATCTAAAAAAAAAAAAAAAAAAAATGCTGCAAGATTGCCTGAGGCTTGTTATTATTGTTCCCATAAAGCTGGTTCCATTTTCGTTTTGATCTTTGTGCAGTGACCCCCATTTCAAATACACTCATATTAATGTTGTTTATGTATCATAGTCTTTGTTTTCTATATTTAGCTGGTAAGCTGAAAAAAATATCTCCTTAATTTGTAAAAGTCAAAAATCACTCATCTAAAAAAACTCTCCCAATTAGGATTAGGTAAATAAGGAATGTTATATCATAAGAAGTGTTATATCATGATAAGGAGAGCGATTCCTTTCATTCGTTATAAAGCACAGGTACTTTAGAGTGTCATAGCCAGGACTTCAATTTAGGTAGCATGCACAGTCAGTGACTTTTAAGTCAATAATATAAAATAAAGTATGGAAATTCTGGGTAGCAATTTTAATTAGTAAGGTGCTTGACAAAAAACTCTTGAAAATGAAATTTTCTTGGTATATGGAAATACATATTGCAATGCACTTTGGAGTATCGCAATATATTGAAAAATGATTTTAGGTAGCAGTATTATACAGCCCTGATAATGATATGACATTATTATATTTAATAGCTGGTACAACAGATAGTAGTAGTAGCAGTAATATTGGGGAGGATATTGTCACCTTTTCACCTTTAAACTCTTTTATAAATTATTTGTTGGAGACATCATCAGGTAATATTGATTGTGGTTCTGAAGGTGATGTAGTTGTTCAGTAGTTAGAAATCCCAAAACACAATTCATACCACTAAGAACCATTAATATTTTAAAGCCAATTACAAAGGGTCATTCATAACATCTGATAAGAGACTTTAAATTGCATGGATAGATCTGTCTATAGTTTGAATACAGTTGTTATTTTCACAAGATATCAGTAATTACTACAGGTTACAACTATTCTTAACATACTGAGCTAGTACCATCAGCCAAGGTGTAGCACTTTGGCCCTTGAGACAATTTTGGGTCTTTATAAAATTGGCTCTTCAATTTTGTCTATAAAGTCAAATCACACGTACTAAATGAACGTGGATATAGTTATTCGTAAAAAACAGTGATATTTTGGTCATATTATAATCATTGTCAAAATAGTCATCAAATTCTGGCTGTTTATTGACCTATGGTTGTTGGACCAAATAAGGTAACATCTATCTCTGTTAGTGGTGGGAAATAAACAAGTTTATTACGTATTTTCAATGGAAAAGTACCAAGGACCTGCCGAAATGAGATGGGTATAAATTGAAGGGTTGAAGTGGGTTTTAACTAAACTCTCACCAGATTATTCCAAGATGCCATTATATAATTGAGAACGAGGAACCTGTAAAGTTATTTCCAGTTTACCAATAAAGCTGTGAAATCATTGTTGCTGTAGTATTATTTACGATCACAAGGAACACAACAAATAAAGAAGTCTGTAGTACTACAAAGGGACCTGGTTATATAAAACAAAGCATAAATGCAATCAACACAGTTTGTGGGAAGTAAAGCATTAAATAGACAAAGCTTTGGCTTTCTTTTACACCCTTGGTGGAAGTGGACGTTCAGTCCCATGACTGACTTTGGCAAGGCATGGAGATGACAAGAATACAAAATCGACAAAGTTTGAGACAAAGATACGATGAAACTAACTATTTGTCATAAATATCATTTGCCTAATTATTAGCTTGATGTAACTTTTAATTGTTAATTGAAAAGTTTTATTGCCCTTTATGGCTAGCTGAATGGATAGGTTGTCACTCCAAATAGACAGATTAATTATGTCTGTTTATTCAAACTCTAACCAGTATATAGATGTACACATATCTCCTTCTAGTAAACGTGAATGCAGCACCATAGATTTCTTAATTAAAGATGCATTATGGAAGATTAGATGAAGAACATACAGTTCTCGCTATAATATTTAAGAAATAGATAATGTAAAGGGAATATATTGAAAATTTCAGTAAAATTACTTCACATTGAGTCTAGATATTAGCGATACAATAATGGCCAAGCCTCGATCTTCATTACTCCCTTTGTTACGATAATAAGCAAAGTCTTAATTATCCATTTTTATGGTTAATATCATTGATCTGCATATCATATTGAAATCTGTTAAAAATCAGACCCTTCTGATGGCATTGTGAGTTGTTCATGGTTTTTCACATTAATAAATGTCTAATTAATAATTTAGATAACATTTAAGGCCTAAAGAAGACATGCAAACGGCATATTTAGATCTTGCATAATGCATGTTTAACTGGAATTTTACTTCTTTATTTTGTTTAATTAACTGAAATTTTACTTCTTTATTTCAGCGCTACGTATAATGAAGAAGACAAGTAATCTTGACATTCCTAAAATAGATCCTGTGTTCCTACAGGAAGTAGCATTATGTCATGTCTCAGCTGAAAGCAATTATGATTTATCATTAGTTAATTTCTGAGTTCCATCCTGATATAATTATATAACTAGTCACAAATATTTACAAAGGGCTTTAATTTTTCTTTCCCTATGTTTAATTTTAGTAGGATTAATTATAATAATTGCTGAGTTCCTGACAGGTGCTCTGTGACATATTTCATTACCTCGGACACAGAATATACTGTGATGTTCTTAGTCTTACCACTTTAATGGGTTATATCTCGGAGACATTTATTGTTTTTTTTGCTACATATTTTGGTGCTACATTAAGTTTACCTTGCATTATCCTACTGGTACCCAATTACTGTTGGTTAGATTTAAACCCCAATCTTTGTTGTTTATATATTATAAAAATCTTTATAAAGTAATGTTTCTTGTTTCATTGATGTTAAATTCGGAGATGTTGGTGGTCGTCCCTAGCATATACAGTTATTAAAATGTAAGGTATAAAAAATGTGATGTGGGCCGGGAGTTTTTTTTTTTTGGTCAATGGATCACTGAATTAAATGACTTCTGATTCTGACAAAAAATATAAGATTTCAACTGGAATTTGATCAAAAACCTTTCATCAGTTCGTGGTTGATAATTAATGGCCAAAATGCATCAGGACAACAACTTCAAACTAGTAGAAATAGAAACCATAGTTTTAAAATTGGGGTGGAGGGCAGCTTCATCCTCTAATGGTCAGGGTGGACAATACCTGCAGAGATTTAATATGACTTATTTAGTACCAATAAATGGTTCCGTTTCCAAAACTGCAGTATTCATGCTGTCATGTTTTTTGCCAACTGCAGTAGCCCATTATGGTTTTCTCCTGTGAAAAATATAAGCTAAATGAAATGAAATAATGATTTTATATATTGATTATTCGTGTGATTCTATTGTTTCAATGGCATTTAGATATAGAACTGGTAATTGATTCTAGCTCTTTGAAGCTGGACATGGTTTTCAAAGTTAGAAAGTTATGTACCTGTATACTGAATAGTACTAATTTGATAGTCTATTTTCTGGTGGGTTTAGGAATCAGAAATTCCCACACTCGGAGTTAAACACCACAAGAATTCTCAATAGAATAATTTCCCACATGGAAATGATCTCCCCAAACGGCCTGAAAGTGGGAAGGGGCCTCATCAACTCTGCACAGGGGCACTGCATCAATATTAGACAAGGAAATAATACAAAAAACATTTCAAGTTGTTTTTTTAATATTTTACTTTCACCTACATGTAGGATTGGTATAATCAAGACAAAAACAACAATTGATAATAAAATGGGTGAAATATAAATACATGTACATTAAAGTTATGTCTGGTTAATAAAGTAAAAGAATTAAATACTGTTGACAACAATCAAGATTTATTATCTAAATGTACTGACACCTGATAAACAAGTCTAGAAATATAACCCATATATCAAATGTAAGCTACTGCACAGACACCTGATAAACAAGGCTACAAATATAACCAACTGTATAATATATACTAATGTCCAAAAGAAAGTATACACACTGAAAATATGACCAAGTTTTGTTTAAATAAAAACAAGCCAACAGTGAGGCTGATGTCCCCCGCCGAAAAGGAAAATAATTAGAGGACACATATAAATTTATCACAAATTATCTTTTACAAAGTATTGAACAATCAAACAGTATATCTTTACTTATAGTCTAACAATCAAAGTAGGAGAGTTATTGTTTTCCAAAGTCTCGACCAATCAAATTGCGTATCGCTCTGCTTACCCTGAGCAGAAAATGCTCATTATCAAACTTAGTCAAGGTATTACTGTAATGAAACTATACACCAAGTTTCATCAATCTCACTTAATTAGAACTAAAGTTATCGTGTCCCAAAGCATCAACCAATCAAATTGCTTATCTCTGCTTACCCTAAGCGGAAAATGCTCATCTTCGAACTCCATCAAGGCATTGACCTAATCAACACATACACCAAGTTTGAACATTCTAGCTCAATTAGGAAGAGAGTTATCGTGCCCCAAAGTATCAACCAATCAAATTGCTGCTTACCCTGAGCAGAAAATGCTCATTATCAAACTTAGTCAAGGTATTACTGTAATGAAACTATACACCAAGTTTCATCAATCTCACTTAATTAGAACTAAAGTTATCGTGTCCCAAAGCATCAACCAATCAAATTGCTTATCTCTGCTTACCCTAAGCGGAAAATGCTCATCTTCGAACTCCATCAAGGCATTGACCTAATCAACACATACACCAAGTTTGAACATTCTAGCTCAATTAGGAAGAGAGTTATCGTGCCCCAAAGTATCAACCAATCAAATTGCTTATCTCTGCTTACCCTAAGCGGAAAATGCTCATCTTCGAACTCCATCAAGGCATTGACCTAATAAACACATACACCAAGTTTGAACATTCTAGCTCAATTAAAAGTTATCGTGTCCCAAAGCATCAACCAATCAAATTGCTTATCTCTGCTTACCCTAAGCGGAAAATGCTCATCTTCGAACTCCATCAAGGCATTGACCTAATCAACACATACACCAAGTTTGAACATTCTAGCCCAATTAGGAAGAGAGTTATCGTGTCCCAAAGCATCAACCAATCAAATTGCTTATCTCTGCTTACCCTAAGCGGAAAATGCTCATCTTCGAACTCCATCAAGGCATTGACCTAATAAACACATACACCAAGTTTGAACATTCTAGCTCAATTAGGAAGAGAGTTATTGTGTCCCAAAAAGTGTGACGGACAGACAGACGGACGGACAGACGGACAGACAGACGGACGAACCCATTTTAATAGTCCCCTGCTTTCTTCGAAAGGCGGGGGACAAAAAAATGTGATAAAACTACACTGAATATGTCTTGTGCATCCAAACTCAATATTTCTAAGCAAATAAAAGGCATAACAAATGGACATTGTACCCAAATACTGCATACAATGGAAAAACGACTTTGTTTGAAGCAGGACGAGAAGCTCAGTGTGTACTTCTTTTGGACATTAGTATTTTTATTTTGTAATTTCAATGTTTGTTAAACCTTTTCCAGAAGCATCGGAACTATAATCAGATCACTAACCCTTGAACTAGCTACAACAACCCAGGGCCTGTTTCACGAAATTTTAACTAAGTCAATGTTCTTGGCTATCTGTGCTAATGAACATGTGGGTGGAGTGTACTATGAGGGAAATTTTGCTTGGACAGCTGCCTTTCCACATATTGTGTGTCTGCTAATGTGTCTATGGTACTCGCACTGAGATATTGAGTGAATGTGTTTTATTTTGTGGGTTTGGGTTTGTCAAGTGAGTTCACAAGAAAAATTACCTGAATTACCGGTACAGTAAAAAAATATTTTTGTGATCAGTGCAATTAGGATTGAAGAAAAGTAAATGAAGGAATAATAAATATGTAATACATAATAACCATGTATTTGTAAATGGAATTTGCTCTTTAAATGAAATCTTTTAATAAAGAATATATTTACACTCCTCTACTAGATTCAAGGACATTTGGCTGACAATGGAAGATCAGTTTAGAAGTGTTTGTTTTGGCAAATCCTGATCACCCTTTCAATACATTTGAAAACTATCTACATTGTACAAAACAAATATATTAATATGGCTGCATGCATGCATTATTTAAAGTTTAGCTAAAGTATTTTATTAAAATATTAAATGCATAAGTATTACTAAAAAATTTAAAAAATAGATAATAACTTATTATCAAATAATTTAATTCTAAAATACCTAACTATAATATTTACAGACAAATGGCCATAAGCGAGTTACTAAATATATGTTGTCAAATACCCTTGAGACACCTCATTATTTCCCAGCAAAAATTATACCAATTTGGTCAAATAGTACAGAGAATTTGCCTATATTCCATCAAACAGACCTTACTATTTCATTTAGATGTTTATAAACAGCATATTATATTTTTTAAAATTTGGTTGCCCTCATTACAAAAATTTAAACAAAACTCAGACCTTTAATCGCACTGTATGACTTTTATTTACAATCCTGACGTTATAGGGAACTTGATGACGCATTTCTTAAGTATTACTCAATTATCACCAATCATAAAGCATTAAATATGAAATACGAAATTGCTAATATACTACATTAGCTAAACGTTCTTCTTACTGCGGTTAGTGACTGTTCAATTAACAGGTGTTAATTAAATTATTGATTTATTGTAAAATATAATTATTTAATGACAACACTTAAATCCTTAACATAGAATGATATCAAAAACTTGATTGATGTCAAACAATTAAATACTTAACATAGATTGATATTAACAACATCCTTAACATTAATTGCTGTCATCAAAATCTAATATTACTGATCTCTTAAATGTTTCCCCGACAATGCAAGCTTTGAAATTTTTCACAGTTCTCCCCAGGCCTGCCAATGGTTTCATGTGGCTCACGATGCCCCTGGAGTTTCCCTTGGACGACGAGGAACCCGTTCCAGACACCTTCCGTGGCTCATAAATTTCCATCGGTAGTACATCCCCGAGGCAAAAAAATGCCCAGTGGAACCTAGGCATTATCACTGATTAATGCCCATCATTCTAAAATTAAATATTCTTTTATGTTGATCACTCATTACTGAACATCGACTTATGTCTGCCACTCAAATACAGTTTTCCCGCGGTCCTTGAAAATCCTTAAATTTAAAATTTCATTTTCAAGGTCTTGAATATTCTTGAATTTCGCGGAAATAGGAAAATATCCTTGAATTTCAGTTGAGATCCTTAATTTTGTTTCAAATGTCTTCAATTCTTTTTAAATATGAGATTATAACGATAGTTGGTAATGTTTTGGTTATTTTTAAGATGAAAAATTGTAACTTTAGGCTAAAAAATGTCCTTGAAAATCCTTGAATTTGACGTATATTTATCCTTGAATATCCTTAAAAAATGTTTGACGAAGCCGCGGGAACCCTCAAATATTAAACACTTGATTGATGTCAACCATTTAAAGATGAATGATGAATTGGTGACAAGTATATATATATTAATCTATTGATATCCATCACTCTAAAATTAAACCTTAACTCAGTGATTCTCAACCAGTGTGCCGCAGCACACCGAGATATTCCTAAGTGTGCCGCGAAATTTTGAAGGGCACACTATTAAAATGCGAAAAACAATGTGATCCCAATTGAGCATTCTCTAGTGTTTACTGGTAAGTTCATAGCTGTGTTTTTCTTTATTTAGTTAGAGTCATCCTATGACTAGTCTCTGTCTACGGATCTATGACTTGCCATGTTTTTATTTAGCAAAAATCAAATATTTTTCATATATATTTAGCCAGGTGTGCCGCTATTTTTTCATGTGTTCCAAGGTGTGCCGTTGCCAAAAAAAGGTTGAGAACCACTGCCTTAACTGATGTCAACTACTCAAATACTAAATGTTAAAGACTTAAATATTATATATTAATATATGATGTGGACAACGCAGATGTTAAAGATCGATTGATGCCAAACTCTTAAATAAGAATCACCAATTGATGTCAGTCAACCTCTTAAATATCAAACATCAATTGATGCCAAACTCTTAAATAAGAATCACTGATTGATGTCAGTCAACCTCTTAAATATTAAACATCAATTGATGTCAACCTCTCAAATAAAAATCATCAATCGATGTCAACCTCTTAAATATCGAACATCTATTGATGTCAATTTTCAACCTCTTAAATATTAAACATGGATTGATGTCAACCTGTCAATGTGGAATTAATATCAACAACTTAAATATCAACATGTGTTAATGTTAATCACATGTATGGGATAACAACTACTGAATGTCAGTCACAGAAATATTAAACACTGATTGATGTTTATCACAATAACAATAATATTTAAAATTGGTTATGTATCGACTAGTTAAATATTCAACGATTGATGTCAGATACACAATAGATTAAACATCTATTGATTCATCATCACAATCATCATCACACTTACATTCACACACCTCATCCTCGCTTGATGAATCACCAAATGTATCTATATTTAGATTCAAATTTATAGATCGTGCTGCAGCCATTGCTGCTATATTGGCACTGAAAGATAAATTGGCACCTGGCAGTCTGGATATTCTAATATCAAGATCGGTTTGTCCAGGTTCTCCATTAGAAGATGAACTTGTATCTGGTGATGTTACATCTAGACACTGTTCTGAGGAGTCTGTGTTTTCCAGGTCTTCTTCTTCTGGTTCATGCTCGAAAATTTCAGCTTTTGTTGGGTTTTCATATTTGGTTTCTTCATTACTTGGTTGAGATTTAGTTTCGTACAATTCATTTTCATTGTTATGGAGACTGCCTGTAGCTCTAGTTACTGTCATTCCTGTGGATTTATTTGAAGTATTATCAGGGTTTGAGTTTGGAGTAGGGTCCTCCAGACAAGGTCTGCATGAATTTTGTTGAAGACTGATAAATGAATCCACCGAATCGTCAGAAACTGCAGAAGTTGGTTTTACAATATTTGGAGCATTATCGCGAGATATTGACATATTGTCTGGTTTTGTACTTTGAAACAGATCAAAGTTTGAAATTCCGGCTTCAGAAATATCGCAAGAATCACTTTTAACTTGAAAAGTATCGTTGTTTGAAGGGTTGTCGAGTTTGGAAGAGTTTGAGTTTACATGGGATATAGGGTCACTTTGGGTTTTTTGGGTCATTTTGCCATCATTAAATAGTTGTGGGCTTTGTACTTCTGAATCTACGAGTGGAGTGATTCCTGAAAGTTGATCGGTAAAACTTGTGAGAGGACTATAAAAACTACTGCTTATATTGTCACAGTCTGATTGTTTAGCCCCAGTAGGCAACAAACCATCTTGAGAATCGTTTTCAAGTTTTTGAACGCCAGAAATGTCCTCATAATTGGACGTTTTTGAAAATTGAGAAGAACTAGAAGATAAGTTTTGTTGTTGGGTTAAAATGTCTTGGTTTATCGCAGAGTCTTTAGGTTGACTAGAAGATTTGCTTGATACAGTGTTGGAGTTTCCAGGTTCATTTGGAACTTTTTCTCGAATAATGCCGTAAGTCTTATCAAGATTTTGGCGGATTTCGTTGTTGTTTTGTTTCTGGGATAGTTCTTTGCCTTCAAAGAATCCACTTGATGATTTGGAACCTTGCACAGAGTCGAAGGAGCTTGCTTTCATTTCTTCGTAACCTGGACTAGAATCTAGATCAACAGAGTTTTGACGACAACTGTCATCCTTACTGGAGGTAGTTGAATATTCTGAGTCGGACATGCTGAACGATTTTCCTTGTACTTTCGTTGTGACAGGTGTAGACAGTATGGAATCAGAATTCTGTAAGTCAGTGATGGAATTGGAATTACCCTTTTCATTATCAAGGGAACTCACAGAAACAAATGAGTCTTCTGCAGCACTTCTGCCTCTTTGTGGAAAAGGAGATGTGGCGCTGTTATTTAAATTAACCATGTCAGACTTCCTAGCAAGATGAGCAGGTAATGGGTTTTCATCATCTATTTCTTCACTAATAGAATTACCCACCATTTTATTTGAATTCATTTCATCTTCTGAAAGAATGGGACTAATATTTAAACTTGACGTTTGCTCACATAATAAGGGAGATAACTCTGCTTTTGTACTGCTGAATATATCAGAATTGGATAAAACTGACTTTGCTTCAGGTTTACATTTCGATTTTGAATTTTCTGTACAAGTATTTTGAGATTGCGGTGTCAAATGAACCTGGAAGTTCTCCAAGTGGCGAGATTCATCAGGTGAAGTCAATGTTCTGGATTTTGCTAAAGCTATTTCTTCACGTCTTTCCCGGTCTTCAGCTCGAACAGATATAACTGATCGTAATTCTGACAGTAGACGTTTGGCTTCTTCTTTTTCTCTTTTTTTCTTCTCCTAAAAATTTGATGAAAAAAAGTTTGATCAGTTGACAATGTAACACAGAAAATAAGAGTCAATTTATATACGACTTGCAAAATCAATCTTAAAACTTAAAACTGATTAGAGCATATTACCTTCGGTAAAAAATAAAAATTGTCGATTTCATTGGATTTTATTCGTTGATTTGATTTAGACAAAGCCAGTGTTAAGATTAAAGATGGGTTCCCGAGTATAAACTGGGTGATTTAATGGTATATATGGACTAAAAACATTTAATTTGTCATAACTTTGCTTCAAATCCTTCTCAAACATTAAAATTGCGAAGAAATATCCTGCTATAAAAATTCAATCAAACCAGGTCATGTTTACGTCACGTGACTTACCTCTCTTGGAAGTCAGAGGAGAATTCATTGCATACATAAGACGATGTTGTCTTTAATCGCTTACTATTTATTACAAATATCGAATCCTAATTAAATTCTCAGATTATCCACTACCCGCGTCTTTTTCCGTCATTTTTATCTCAGAAAGTGTTGTATGTCTAACTCTTCATAAAGTTTATCAACTTGTACATCAAGCGCTCAATGTTCGCGTGTGACCTTTGACATCACTTGTGCAGAAATTCCTAATCGTCGGGCTGTTGATTAGGGAAACCCTTACATTTTTGTCCTGTATACGCTCCAAGAGTGTTTTTTAAGGAATCCAGTATTTTTCTAGTAAGATTGGATATCTCTACTTTCCATATATACCAAAATTACCATAACCACCCGATAAATACTTTTCTGGGAACCCATATTTAAAGCAATTCAGTTCTCCACTGTTGTAACCGTGAGCCAAAAGTTAAATTCAAATTAGTAAACAAATGAACTTTCTCATAATCTTTCAAACCCAAAGTTTAATCATCTAGAGCCTCTACCTCATCACAGCGTGGTTCTCCCTTGTTAGTGATGCAGGACGGAGGGGCTGACAAGGAAAGCTGTCTAGTCGTTCGGATGGGACGAAAAACCGAGGTCCCGTGTACAGTTGGCAGTTGGAATTTGATATAAGAGTAGTCGCTGTCCGGGCAAAATTTCCCTCATAGCACACTGTATGGCGTATGCCCGTCTTCATTAGCCCAGGTTAGGAGCAGAACAGTAGGACGTTAAACTCCATTTCATTTCATTTACAAACAAGTTTTAATAATGGAAAAGTTTAATGTGGTAAAGAGCAGTTAATAGTTTTAGAAATTGTGTACCTTTTCTTCAGGTGATAGAATTGGTTCCCAGTTCCAGGTGAAATCATCATTGTTATCAGCATCTGTATATCCTTCAAATACCTAACAATAAACAATTAAATATTTAATTATCTGACTACAAGCATCTAATAAAACTATAAAAACATAAGCTGTGATTGTTAGTGATTCAGGACTTGGCAAGAAATTTGGATGTGATTCTTTAAAATGTGGCACATTAAAAATATGGGCATGCCAATGTATACATCGGACCTCGGTTCTCCATGCCATCTTATTAAAAGACACTGTCCTTGTCGTCAGGCACTCCGTCCTGCACCGCTGACAAGGCGAAAACACAACCGAAAATCGTGAGTAACTTTCTCAGCCAACACCATAAGTTGAAATCAAGACCTTCTGATTAGCGAGCCAGCTTCTTACTCATATTACACCATCCTTCTTATATGAAGAGTGCTATAGTGAGGTTGTGGTAAATATATTAAAATCTAACCTGATCTTCTATAATATAATCACCAGCATCCATTATTATCACCTCTTTTACTTTATTATCACCTAAAACTTCTTTTATATTATCTACTGGACTTACTGTAAAATATAAAACAATTATATCACATCATCAATAACTCCACGATTATCTCATATATACAACCACAAGTTTCTTAAAAGTCTTTACCATGTATGAGATAGGCATTAACTCTGCAGATAATTGACAAATTGCACTCTCAACCTGACTAATCTGAGACTGGAAAGTTCAAGAATATAAAGCAAAGTTTTATTATAATCAGATATTAGACATACATTACGCAAGAGCTAAATCTGCCTATTGCAGGTCTTTCTTTATCTAAATCATTAATTAGACATTAATTAACTTATCCAGGCCATAATCAACTCTCGATGGCATTGCTAGCCTGCGATCTTTAATGGATTGTGAGCCGATTTACTGCATAACTCTCCGTCACGATTTAACGATTAAATGGATAATCAAGACTATGCTGTTTATCGTACTGACTTTAGTAATGATGATCAAGGCTAGGCGAAAATTCAATCGCTTTGTTCTCGGTTCATAGTGGATCAATTTGAATGAAATTTTCAGCAAATTGCCTTTACATTATCTAGTTTTTAACTATTATAGTGAGAACTGCCAACTTGTTATCAAATCTCCCATAATGTATCTTTAAGTTTTATTTTTTAACCAGTGGTTAGGCAGGTTGGCATAAAAATCACATCTTACTTGGCACATTATTTTTGGTAGATTTCTTGATGCGACCAATTCCCTCTTCCCAGCATCCTTTGCAAGCCTCGAGTTCAGCTTTAACTTCATTCATCACCTGTAACCATGATTCATCAGTGGGTTTTGATTGGTCAGATTTATCATGTGATAAATCAACACAATCAGCAGATTCTTCATTCATTTCCTTTTCTAATCGTTTTGATAATTCTTGTGTTCTGAAAGCAGTTTATAAACAGCTTTAACACAATTAAATCATTGATCATAAATAAGAGGGATTTGGAGTCCATTGCAAACTTGTTGATGCTGTATTGTATATACAGTTAATTAAAGGCTCAATAGCAATCTTGTTGTAACTGACTAATATGTCCCAATTTTTATTCTGATCAACAAATTGTACTATTTTACAATATTCCAATCAATTGATGATATAAATTTCATCTTAACACACCTAATTTAAAAAATTGTAAAAATTCAACTAAATGATTCGAAAAGCCTAACGTAAACCTTTTCAAATGTGACTTGGATTTTAAAATATTTTCGAACCCTCTGGACAAGTAAAATAGGATGTAATGGATAATTTACACAACAGGTAGGAAACTTAAACATCTAGTACTTAGAATAAGGCTATTTTTTTTATTTTCTGGAGCTGTCAAGCCAGCAAGAGTGTTATTGTCCCTTTAACAAACCTGACTATTTTGTATAGAGTTAATTAACAACAGTTAATTAACCTGACTATTGTATATATACAGTTAATTAACAAACCTGATAAGTGCAGCCTGTAGATGTAAATCTAGACTATGTACAGCTGTATAAAATTCTCCTTTCTTGGATTTAGGACGATCAAACTTTGGTTTTGATGGTTCTCGGTTTAAAGGGCTACTCTTATGAAAATCATATGATCTCTGTAATTGGAGATGATCCTTTTCTAGTTTTATATACAACTCTTCCATTAATACCTTGAGCTTATCAAATGGTTCAGGGGATCCTAGAAAAAGATATTTATCAGAAATCATTACACAATTTGATTTTAATATAGTAATTATTGGAAAAGAAATTGGGTTTAATGTTCTGAATGTCTGTTTTACTAAGGTTGACTTGATTTTTCCTGTTGTCTGTGGAAGCAAACATCACAACTAAAGTGAAGTGGTAGTGTCATAAGCAGATAAAATATTGATTACTAAGGACTTGACTGAATAGTGATAATATAACAAGTAGGAACAAGGACAGACTAGGAAACAATGAACTAACAAGGGCAGACTAGGAAACAATGAACTAACAGGAACTGTTGAACTAGTACCGGACATATTCAATATTGTGCCAAATGTGTATTAAATAAAAACATTGTAAACAAGACAAATTTGTCCTGGATGAAATGACAGGCACAATGCATTCTCAGAAATTACTCAAATTTGTTTGCCTTATTTTAACTAAAATACATCAATAAGAAACTATGTGCAAAGTTTTGTGTTTCTGGATGAAAGATATTTCTCATAAACAGTGATTGAAAGTTGAGTAAATTCTCAACTTAAGTCTGAGAATGCTTTGTGAAGTCGGGGCCAGAAGATTTGTACAGAACAAAACCTAAACTTGTGTCTGACAGGTTTGAAATGGGCTTAAATAATAGGGTTGTTATTGGCAATTTCATATTTGGTCATCCTAGTTGTAGATCCAGTTTCATAATCACAAAATCACTGGTACTCACAACCTACGACAAGACCCAAAAGCAATGCTTTTCTACATCAATTGGGCTAATGAAGACCCAACAGCAAGACTTTTCTACATCAATCGGGTTAAATGAAGACCCAACAGCAATACTTTTCTACACCAATCGGGCTAATGAAGATCCAACATTAATACTTTTCTACATCAATCGGGTTAAATGAAGACCCAACAGCAATACTTTTCTACACCAATCGGGCTAATGAAGACCCAACAGCAATACTTTTCTACATCAATCGATTAATGAAAACCCAACAGCAATACTTTTCTACACCATTCGGGCTAATGAAGACCCAACAGCAATACTTTTCTACATCAATCGATTAATGAAAACCCAACAGCAATACTTTTCTACACCAATCGGGCTAATGAAGACCCAACAGCAATAATTTTCGACACCAATCGGGTTAATGAAAACCCAACAGCAATAATTTTCGACACCAATCGGGATAATGAAGATGAAATATACTATAAAATAAATAAGTTTTATATATATAATACCTTGTATTTGAGCATCAGCAATAAAACAAAGTGTAAGTCGTCTAATAAACTCAGACAGATATAGTGAAAACAACTGGTTCATTCCCTGTAATATAAATATCTTTAATATTCAACCATCATTAATACCATAAATATTGTTTACTGTAACATCAACAAATTATTATCAGATGAGCTTAATTTGAGACAAATAAAACTTAGAATTTGCGACTATCAATTTTCAATGTTGGTGGTAATATACATCAGAGTGTAACGTCTTGTCACCACGATACTATCAACAGCTATTTTCTTTTTCTGTGGCTATGTGAACAATGCTAGGAAGGAGAATATTGCATTGACAGTGGCCTACTCTTCATATTAAGTGTTTGGGGGGGTTGGATGGCCAAATAGCCTGTAATTGAGTCAACTGGCATGGTTTCGAATCCCTGGTTGTACGTGACAAGGAGTAGGGTCGCCTGTCCAACCTCGTGGGTTTTCTCCGGGTCCTCCGGTTTCCTCCCACTGCTTAAGATCCCTACGCGCAAGCAAATTATTGAAATAAATAAAAAATGAAACCATGTTAGTCCCAAAATGACCTAGTCCCTAGTCCCAAAAGTATCTGACAATCGTGTGAACTACAAAACTAAAGGAGAAGTGGTAACAAGTGTTCTATAAAGTGCAAAAACAACAACTTGGACAATTTTGGATATACTGACAGTCATGTGAACTTGTTCGTGAAAAGTATACATACCCTGAGAGCAGCAACTGAAAATCCATCAGTTAATTGAGCAAGATGTTGACTATCATCTGCTTGTTGTCCTATAAGTTGTAAACATGGACCATAATCTGATAGAGGAACACTAGCTAAATAATTACTCACAGAATCAACCTCAGGTATTAATGGATGACTTTATAATAATTCAGGAAAACAAAATCACTGGATTTCTTTTATGCCATTTTCAGACTGAAATAATTCTACTCCCTCAATCCTAGCTCCCCTTCCCCAAAATCACTGGTTTATTTTATGCCATTTTCAGACTGAAATAATTCTAATCCCTCAATCCCGGCTCCCCTTCCCCAAAATAAAACAAAATACAAGGCAAATTTAACCCAACTGGCATCAGATCAGCAAATAAAAACGACAACATATTCAGTGATTTTTTCATCGCATAAACAATAAATTTAAAGTCAATCGTATGACAATTTTACCCTCTTAAAAAGAGAGTCCCAAAAATTTTTCAAAGTGATCAAAGACAAAATTATTGGAAATCACATAAAAAAAATTATGTCTTTACTTCAAAGATACATTATGGGAGATTAGATAAAGAGTTGGCAGTTTTCACTATAATAGTTAAAAACTAGATAATGTAAAAGGAATTTGCTGAGAATTTCAGTCAAATTGATCCCCTATGAACCGAGACTTTAGCGAATGAATTTTTGGCCTAGCCTCGATCATCATTTCTAAAGTCGGTAGGATGAATAACATAGTCTCGAAATCAAAATGGATCATGAAATGGATTAAATTATGAATGGAAGTCGAACAGCAAATCGAAACCTATAATCCAATAAACATCGCAGGCTGGCGATGCCATCGAGAGTTGATTATGGTTTGGATAAGTTAATTAATGTCTAATTAATAATTTAGATACCATTTGAGGCCTAAAGAAAGACCTGCAATAGGCAGATTTAGCTCTTGTATAATGTATGTTTAAGTTGTAGTTATTAAAATATAAATGCTATAAGGATACAGTTCTAATAACTTTAATGTTGCTTCTCTAAATATCAACATTCCAGATCTAGCCACATGAAAATTGTTTTTTCTCAATTCAGAACATAATTTGTATGAATTAGTTGAAGCTGTCTGTTCTATTCCTGACACAGCTACTCTTTGACTTACTCTGAAAAAAAGTTAAAAGCAAAGTTACGTATGTTAAAAAGATCAAATTCACATTCGACCTTTTTAGGGGAGAAATGAACCTTGGGCTAAGACTAGTAATTATTTCCCCTTATTTCATGTTTGACAAATGTAGTGCGAGTTATATAGACAATTTTTCTCTTAATTTTTTACAGCAGAGGGATAGGGGATGTAAAGTGTCTTTTTGCAGAGCAATCATGGTGTCGGAAGTGTCAACCCCCTACAAAATTATGATGAGGAGATTGCCAAATGTCGTCCCCATTGTGCCTATAAATATTGGAACCAACGGTATGTTGAGCAAGGAGCTACAGCCTGTGATGTCACAGCCATTTAACATTGAAGTCAATGGGAAAATAATTGCTAGCCTGAGACCACCTTGTTGAATTATCTCCCCTTTGATGTGTCAGGGGAGATAACTCCAATGTGAAACATTTTTGAGAAGTTGACAAAAAGGATCCTGAAATGAAATGAAATGAGGTTTAACATCCTACTGTTCTGCTCCGAACTAGGCTAATGAAAACGGGTATACGCCATACAGTGTGCTATGAGGGAAATGTTGCCCGGATAGCGGCACTACGGCTTACTTTTATATCGAATTCCAACTGTCAAGGGATCTTTTACGTGCACGCCAGTGTGTACACAGGACCTTGGTTTTTCATCCCATCCGAACGACTAGACAGCTGTCCTTGTCAGGCCCTCCGTCCTGCATCATTCAGAAGGGGGAACCCCCCGGAAAATCTGGATGAACTTTCTCGGCCAATGCAGGGATCGAACACCCGAAGTCCAGGCTAGCCACCAAAAAGGACCCTCACTTCTATGATTATACCTTTATTTAAAGGTACATCATCATCCTCAACAAGAGAATACATTTATTTAATTTTGAATACCAAATTCATAATATTGTTAGACTGAATAGACTTCCCTATTTATACTTCACAAGAGTTTGTTCAACTCATTAAAAACCATAGATTAATTTCACTCCATAATGATTGACCAATCCCTAACGATATTGTTATAAATCTTAAAGATGATTTATGTAAGATCTGACAGTTCTCGCTTTAATAGTTAAAAAATAGATAATGAAAAGGGAATATATTGAAAACTTCAGTACAACTACTTCATTCTGAGTGGAGTTATTGTCAATTGCAGAACATTGTAGACACGATTGTCATTACTAGTGTCTAAAGCTATTGAATTGAAAATGGCACAAGTAGTAAGGAAATGTAATAAACAAAGAAAAACTAAGATAAAAAAAAAAAGTTGCTAGGGTAACACATTTGTTTTGGAAAAGTATGAAAAATGTAGGTACAGCATATCTCTGGCACTAATAAAGATAAATGTCTCATTTTTGGACTGCTTATTCTTTAATGATAACCCTAAAATCAGACAGAGAGTTTTTCAATATAATTTTTATAGTTTCTTGGAAAATGGTGTTTAAACCATTTGCCTCACCACAATATTTTGTCTTTTGAAATATATTTTGATAACTTTTGAAACATTAATGATAATTCAAATTGCTTTCCGTCTGATTCTGTGGTAGATATTTGTTTATATATCCTGCCAATTTGATGAAGATATCTTAATTAGTTACAGAGATATAGTGTACCTACACTTTTCATAATTTTTTCCCCAAAAATGAGTTACCCTGGCAACATTATTTTTTCAAAATTACTTTTCCCCTCTTTAATACATTTCCTACATGTAACTACTTGTACAATTTTCAATTCAATAGCTTTACAATTTCAGAACAAAAATTTTCGGGTAGCCTCCCCCCCTTAAGAAGTTTTGCAAACTTTTAAATGTTGTTTTAAACAGGCTAAGGGAATACATGAATGAAGAATAACTTACAGAGTAAATCCTCTCGCTACTAATTCCTTTTCTTGAACTAATCGTAAAGATTGTCGAGTTAATGTCAACACCTTTTCACTTATGTCCATACTTTTCTCAATAGCCGAGGTCGTGTCCATGAAAATTCTTCTTTTCCACCAATAGAAACAAACATCGGAACATGTACTCATCATACAAATACCGAAACCTACAGCTAGAAAATCAGCCATTGGTCGTAGGTTGATAGGAAATATACCTGTACACCATATTAATGTATAGACTAGAAACCCAGTAGATAAATAGTTTATTGGTCTGAAATAAAAATAAGATGGTTTGATATTTTCTTACTGCAGCAGGGGGTGTTGGATGGCCGAATGGTTAGCACGTGTGCGCTGTATCATAAAGTCTGTCATTGAGTCAACTGGCGTGGTTTCGATTCCCCGGTTGTAAGTGACAAGAAGTAGGGTCGTCTGTCCAACCTTGTGGGTTTTCTCCGGGTCCTCTGGTTTCCTCCCACTACTAAAGACCCCTAAGCGCAAGCGAATTGTGGAAATAAAATTGAGCAATATGTTAGTCCCAAAATGACCTAGTTTGTGTCGAGTGGACCCCCCCCTCTCTCTCTCTCATTACAGCATAAATTTGAAATGATCTTGATTCTGATTGGTCTAAAGTTTGGTTGTATAAACAATAACACCCTCTGTTTTACTAAAAGAATAACCATGTACATATTGCAGCTTACTGTGTTTTCATTTTTATGTTCAGTGATCTTCCTCACCTAAAATGTTTATTGACCAAAATCTTCAAGAAATTCTACACAAATGATAATCATACAAATGAAGTATCTTGTGTACTAATGATTCAATTTTAATAGTTCACTGCTTTCTTTGAAAGGTGGGGGACAAAAAAATCTTTCTGGTTTGAATCTTCAATTGAAATGTTATAATATCATACCCATTCCATTTTTTAAAGCAGTCATAAACAGACGGTTCAGTAAGAGTAGTTTCCCCTACATTACAGTTGATATAATTCTCTAAAAATGCTGAATCCTCTTCTTCTAATGCCTTTGAATTCTGTACATGTTTTAATGTTGTCATGTGATACCATGCCTCCTGAAACATCAATTAATAAAATAAGTTATTCTGCATTGCAGGTATTGGTATTTCGCAAATTTCATAATTTCATACTATGAAGGACATTCTGCACACAGAGATCCATCTACTTCATACGTCAAGAATAGATCTCTGCCCTAAATGACCGCCATATCTAAAAATTAGTATACTTTTTTGTAATTAGGTTCTAGTCCGTTTCACATCTGTCATACACGCAAAGACTAAATAAACTTTTTCAATTGTATTAAATGGAAGCCGAATAAATCCTTTACAAAATTCTCGAAGTTTACTTTTAGTTTTCGACTAAAATCGTCGATTTAGGACTTAAAATGTCGGTCAACTTGCTTAATGTCTGTTCTCAAGAGGGGCTAACTGTAGACAGACAGCCTAAGTTTAGTTTGTATGAAGGATTCCCATTTGAAAATACAGGTGTTTGTCTAACAACAACTGATGATGGTTTGAATTATACATGTGACCACTTATACATGAGACTACTACATATGGGACAGAGAGATGGGGTTTAACGTCCACTTGACACAAAATAAGTCATTTCAGGACTAACATATGGTTCAATTTTATTTCAATAATTTGCTTGCGCATAAGGGCCTTTAGCAGTGGGAGGAAAACGGAGGACCCGGAGAAAACCGACGAGGTTGAACAGGCGACGTTACTCCTTGTCACGTACAACCAGGGAATCGAAACCACACCAGTTGACTCAATGACAGACCTTATGATACAACATGCACGCGGTAACCATTCGGCCACCCAACCCCCCACATGTAAAAGAACCCATGAAAATGTTGCTGCTGAGTAAATCATTTCCTTCATAGTCCACTGCATGGCGTATATAGGTTTTCATTAGTTTACTTTTTAGAAAACATTAAAACGTTACACCCCATCTCATTACATTACATTTTATTTATTTATTTTTGTATCAACCATCAGCCCTATTGTGTGAATGTGAAGAGGGCGTATTGCTAACATACACAATTATGTCAATTCACACCAAAGTAAAGATAAAGGCCAATTATGATCATTCAGAAATATAGACAAACATGATCGAATATGCTAAAAATATCTGAACCGAGATATTGACTTTTGAATTTAGGCTAGTCTCAATCATCATTACTAAAGTTGTTACGATAAAAATCAAAATTTCGATTATCCATTTAATTATTTTTCAAAAAGTGTATTCCAATCTGCTTAATATCGCAGGCTAGCGATGGCATCAAGAGTTGATTATATGGTCCCTGATAATTTAATTTATGTCTAATTAATAATTTAGATAACATTTCAAGCCTAAAGAAAGACCTACAATAGGCAGATTTACCTCTTGAATAATGTATGTTTAATCAATAAAAGGAAATGAATAATTTAGCAGATAGTTTCAGTACTAACCAGATTCTCTGTTCCCCATTTTGTTTTTGAGAGATAAAAAACAACACTTTGGTAACATTTACCAAGAATATCAATAAACAAACTGGCATAATCCACCTGAAAATACTTTCAATCAAACAAAAAACATCAATATATTTATTTCATTATCATATCAAATAACCATAACAATAATCTGTCCCTCATATCATAATCAAATATACATGTTAGTCTATGCCCTCTGGTCATACAAAAAACACCATTATTCTGGTTCTCAGACATGAATCCCATCATCAGGATATCTGATGGAGGAGGCAGGTTTATAAATCATTGTGTCAAAGGATCCTGTGGCTATATGATTTATCACGAATATCATATTTCCTGGTGCTACATCTGTTTGAACATAATGTTTACAGGAATTGATCTATATAATTACTCATTTTCATGTCACATGTATCTAAATGTACACTAAGCTGAATATATGGTTATTTACAAGCAGTATATGTAACTAACTGTCATCCTGTCTTCAAATGAAAGGGGGGGGGATCACGGTGGCTAAGTGGGTAAAACGCTGGCTTGCTAGCCTAGAGGTCGGGTGTTCGATCCCATGTAATGTACATACTGGCGTGCACGTAAAAGATCCCTGGACAGTTGTAAGAGAAGGCCGTAGTGCTGCTGTCCAGGCAAAATTTCACACTGTATGGCGTATGGCCATCTTCATTAGTCCAGTTAATCCCCGTTTCATTTCATTTCAAAAGAAAGCACAGATTTTGTAGTTCTAATGTGAAAGTTTCTCCTTCCATCTCCTATCTCTATGGAGAATAATTTAAATCATTTCTTTCTGACAACTATTAGAAATAGTAATTATCATTCATGAAAGAATAGACTAAAAAGATCATTAAAAATTAAGCAGCAAAATTGAATGTTGCCATTTTGTAATAGTCAATTTACGGTTATCGATGATTATCAAAGTTGAGAACCAAACTATTTTTTTTATATGTCCTTGCATTGAATCAGTGATTATAATTTCTAAATCTAAAGCAAGCTTTGGGAATATTACTCAAAACTTAACATCGATAAAGAAGACTGCATCAATGACAGAAATGCATTAAAAATATACTAATTCAGTGACATTTAGATTAAGTAACTGATCTGGCCCCAGTTTCACAAAACATTCTCAGACTTAGGGACATTAGGTAAGATTAGATAAACACATGAAAATTCTCGCTATAATAGTTAAAAATATATAATGAAAACAAAATATGCTGAAAGTTCCAGACAAATTGCTTCCCTCTGAAATGAGATCCGGTAGTAGAGATTCAATTGTAGGCTAGTCTCAATCGTCATTACTGACATTGGTATGACAATAAACAAAGTCTTGATTATCCCTTTTTACATTAAATTATCCATCACAAAATGTATTCAAATCCAGTAAATTTTGCAGGCTAATGATGGCATTGAGAGTTGATTATTTTCTGGATAAGTTAATTAATGTCTAATTAATAATTTAGACAACATTTCAGGCCAAAAGAAAGACTCGCAATAGGCAGATTTAGCTCTTGCATAATGCATGTTTAAGTTAAAAATTGACTCAACTTTCAATCCCTGTTTATGAGAAATATCTTTGATCCAAAAACACAAATATTTGTACATAGTTCTTATCGATACATTTAAACAACAAAAGTTTTATAAAGGGCTATATTTTACTTAAAATAAGGCAAATAATTTTGAGTAAATTCCTAACTGAAAATGTTTTGTGAAACGGGGGCCTGGATATATGCAGGACATAATTAACTGATACAATTCTCAACAGACCTGTTTCAAAAGTTTTCTTGCTGGCATTTTTGTAACATGCTGTACAGTTTCTGTTTGCACATCTTCCATACCAGCTAGTCGCATGTGCTTATACAGTGGTGAATTCTAAAATAAATATAAGCATTAAATCTCAGGTATAAAGACTGAAAGAAAACCCCCAAGTTTGCTTAGAGAACAATAAATAGTTGGTCATAAAAACTTATAATTCTGCTACAACAAGAACCAGTTTAGTTACCTGCATATCAAAGTTTGAGCTCTTAAAAAAATATTTAGTTATAGATCAAGATCGCTACCTGCATTTGAAAATAACTTTTCTGACAATATTACATACCGGTAATGATTTATGTAGTTCTCACAATGCTACTTCATTTGGGAAGATTTTCATGCAAGATCTATTAATCACTGCCTAATGAAAACCTACTACTACTAGCCTAGAATACACTTACTAAAACATCTTTGCACAGTAGGCCTACCGTAGCAAATGTCCAAAATATTAACTTACTAAAGTTCTGGATCTTCAATTCAATGATGGCAATTATAGGCTATTGTCTGGCTTCAACGTAACAACAATGGTTCATTACATGTATCTCAATATCTGAATCCAGTCAGTGAGTGAGTGACCAAATAGAGTACGACATTCACCAGTGATTCACTCAATTACCCATTACATAACTAGCTACATACAAATAAGCTAGTTGAAATGTAACAATCTGGTTCAACTCGACCCATTTAACTATAAATATTAACCTTATTAATACAAACCCATCAATAATAGGTTTGTACGAGGGCTAAGGGTCAAACAGATGACACGCATAGCAGATGACGGATTTGCAAAGGAAGGGAGATAATACAAAAATAACAATGGGAAAAAAAATAAGTCTATAGATTTTGGAAAGCTTTCCTTACGGTTCGGCCTTTTCATAATATTACTATGAATATCCTTTTTGTATTGAATAGTGAAAAATGGCAAATACTGCACAAGAAAAACTAAAAAACTTCATTTATTTACCTCAAAAATCACATCTTCGTCTTGTTCATCATTCATTTTACCTTTTTATTTGTGAAAATGAAGATGTAGGTGAGGGGCGGTAACTCATCAACAGAAACATTTGGGGTCAGACAGGCAATCCTCTCCCCATTGTTAAAACCATACCATTTCATGGCTTATAGCATTTTTTGAACATTCAGATCATCTTAATCTTTATGTCATAACCACAAAAGGGCCCAACATGTCACAATTATCTGATAAAAATATTGATTGGGGAACAGTCTCGATTTTCTTTAGGCAGGGATGTCGTTTTTTTTATGTGATTTCCCTAATTCACGTCTGTTCATCTCCCGATCCGCCCGCCAAAAAAATAACATTATTTACTCAATGTAAATTCAAGCACACTTTATGGATTTAAGCGTTTTCGACGGAAAAAGCCAACAGAAAGAGCAATGCAGGGGTGGGGTGTGTGTAGGAAGAGAGAGAATTACTATAAAAATACGAACAATTAGGCCTACTAGTCTTAGTCCATTATTAAAATAACGTTGAAGGATAAGAATATTTTGCCCCCCCCACCCCCCCAAAAAAAACCCAACAACAATTCCGCCATGCATCACTCACATACAAACAATTAGGCCTACTAGTCTTAGTCCATTTAATAACGTTGAAGGATAAAAATATTTTGCCCCCCCCCACCCCCAAAAAACCCAACAACAATTCCGCCATGCATCACTCACATAGCCCAGCAGCGCTCAAAGCGCCATTTGCTCCGGTGTTACATACCATGGGTACAAGATGCATTTGAAAAAAGAAATGAAATGGAACGAACTTTAATAACATCCTACTTCGGACCGGATCGCCTCCGACATTAGGGTAAAGATCTACATTTCACTGAGACAGAATAACAGAAACAACAGGAAATTTATTGAAACATGGAAACAAGAATTTATTATTTTTTCTTTATTGGCTCAGAGATTCCTTACGGGATTATTTGCTGTAATTAGATGTCCATTTTTATGGGATATCGAGACAGTTGATTTTTCATCATTAGCTGAAACAATAAAAACATCATTATTTTAAAGCACTTTCATTCCTATCTATAACATGCTAGCCTATTAAACCGATTTAAGATGATATCTAAGAGGTTTACCTAATATTTTGTAAGTCAGATATACAAATAAGATAGGAATAACCTTTTATGTCTCGTCAACAGAATACTTCGGTGATTTCGAGACTAGCGTGTGGTTATTTTCATAGCCACGTGTACATTGCTAGGGAGAAGAATGTTGCACGAATAGTGTCTCCTCCGATTACTCTTCATCAATTTTCAATTGATTGTCAAGTGCACCTTTAAATACATTCCAGTGTGTACACGGGTTAGTACCAGTTTTTCGGTACAAACAACATTTTTTAAGTCAACCCTGCAGGTCTTACCCCTGACAAGTGGGAACCGGGTTGCTCGACTGTACGGCCCTGTGTTGCATATACAAAAGAACCTTACAACTATGCGAACTTTAAAACTCAAGATTCTTCTTTGCCCGTAACGGAATTCGTATATACCTGGCCATTCAAGTCCAAGGGTCGGGGGATCACGGTGGCTAAGTGGGTAAGACGCTAGCTCGTTAGCCTGGAGGTCGGGTGTTCGACCCCTGCATTGGCTGAGAAAGTTCATCGAGATTTTCCGGCGTGGTTCCCCCTTGTCAGTGATGCAAGACGGAGGGCCTGACAAGGACAGTGTCTAGTCGTTCGAATGGGACGAAAAAACGAGGTGCCATGTACACATTGGCGTGCACGTGAAAGATCCCTTGACAGTTGGAATTCGACATAAGAGTAGGCCGTAGTGCCACTGTCCGGGCAAAATTTCCCTCATAGCACACTGTATGGCGTATGCCCGTCTTCAATAGCCCAGTTCGGGGCAGAACAGTAGGACGTTAAACCCCATTTCATTTTAGCACAAATGTGTAGGAAAAAATATAATTTGTAGATCTATACCTTCTGTAGAATGACGTCTAACCACGTTGTACGTCTTTGTTTTTGAAAGACATTCTGTAGAGCTGAATACTGTTCCAAGTACTGGCCCAATTTGATTGGGTACTGCTCCATGTAATGTCGCATTTTAATTGGGTACTGTCCGATGAAATAATCCATTTTGATTGGGTACTGTTCCAAAGTAAAATCAATGTCCATTTTGATTGGGTACTTTTCTGATGTGTCTTTTCGCATTTTAATAGGAAATTGTGTAATGCTAAGTTTCCCATTGGTAATAAATCTGTCTTTTATAGGGTACTTATTCAGTTGAAATGGAAATTGGTTAAGTGGTTCGTTGAATTCTAATGGTAATGCCAGACACGTGGTTAGGGAGACACCTATCCAGATGAACAACAAAACCCACAAAGATACTCCTGCAAAAGTAAAATGGCATTAATATTTTTGTTTTCGCACCGGAAAGAAATCTGCTTTTGGGCCAAATTGGCTCAGTGAGTAAGGCGCTGGCTCACTAACGAGGGAGCCCCGGGTTCGATCTCGGTGTTGGCCGAGATCATTCCCGAGATTTCCCTGCGTTTTTCCCTTGTCGGTGGTCTAGGACGGGGCAAAAAAACGAGCTTCCGTGTTCACGTGTAAATGAACCCTTGGCAGTTGGAACTCTTTCTTTTTCATAGCGGACTATATGGGTTATACCAGTTTTCATTATCCCGGTTGGTGCAGACAAGTAGGGCGTTAAAGACTCAATACCACTCTTGTTGCAACTGAATAATATGTCCCAATCTTTATTCTGGTCAACAAATTGTACTATTTTACAATATTCCAATTAATTGATGATACTAATTTCATCTTAACACACCTAATTTAAAAAAATTGGAAAAATTCAACTAAATGATTTGAAAAGCCTGACGTAAAGCTTTTCAAATGTGACTTGGATTTAAAAATATTTTTGAACCCTCTGGACAAGTAAAATAGGATTTAATGGATAATTTACACAACAGGTAAGACACTAACACATCTAGTACTTAGAATAAGCCCTTTTTTATTTTCTGGAGCTGTCAAGCCAGCAAGAGTGTTATTGTCCCTGTAAACTCCATCTCATTTCACACCAGCAATCTGTTTTAATTTTATTCAGTCAGAAAGCAGTCAGTACCCGATTTGACTTGGTTCCCTGCGCTTAGGACCAGTCACGTCATTTCTGTAGCAGTTAGAAAGTATAAGAACATTATTGTATCCTCTGCGGCGGTTCGACTCGGTACCCAATTTGGCTCGGTTCCCTGTGAAAAACACCAGTCGCGCAATTTCCACAGCAGTCAGCTAGAACACCTATCCTCTACGGTGGTTCGACGCGGTACCCGATCTAACCAAGTTCCCTGTGCATGGGACTCGTTGAAAAATTATCAGCAGTGTGGTGGTTTGACTTGTTCGGGCCAAATATGTCACTCCGATCATGTGAACAAACCTAACTGTTACTACGCTGACGTGCATACACCATACAGTGTGCTACGAGGGAAATTTTGCCCGGGCAGCGGCACTATAGCCTACTCTTAGACTCTACTGAAACCGGACGTGGCCGAATGGTTTAACGCGCGCGCGGTTTGATGAGGTCTACCATTGAGTCAAGAGGCGTGGATTCGATTCTCCGCGTGTACCTGACAAACAGTAGGGTCGCCTGTCCAACCTCGTGGTCTTTCTTTAGGTTTCCCCCGACAGCTAGAGACGCCTGCCCATGCTAATTATTGAAATAGACTTGAACCACATGGTAGTCCCAAAATGACCTAATTTGTGTCGAGTGCACATTAAACCCCTATTCTCTATCTCGCTATACTTTAAGGAACTTAATCGCTAATATTTGGGACCTAGAAATTTACACAAATAGGTCCCAACGCATATAATAATGCAATATGAATGTATATAAACTGATTTACATTCAATCGTTTCCGATTTTACTCTTATTTCAAGTTATGTTCGGCGAAATATGCTAGAAGTCTTATTCGAATGGCAATCTCTAGCGTCTGGTTATTCCAGTCTACACCGATAGAATTTATTGCGCATGCTCTCAAGATAAGAATATGACGTCACCGTTTGACATGACTTGCGGAATATGTCTAGCCTCGTTCTTGAGTCCCTTGTTACAAATGGCGCTGAAACGCATTATGGTACACGACTCGTGTACAAATGGTAAAATGTTTATTTTGTCTTAATTATTGGATATCAGAAGTCCAACTTTTCCCGGTAAGATCACAACATCAATGTTGATTTAAATTGACAAATAATTCGTGTTTTCAACGTCGAAGACTTTAAACCTACCTGAAGTCTTCATGATATCATTCACAACCAGTCAACAATCATAATGTTTACAACTGAATTGATCTATATATTCATCAATAGTTTATATAGGAGAGAATACCAAAAAAGGGATTGCTCTTATCACGGTTATTGTTACAGAAAAGTAGGCCTCTAGACCATTGAAGATAACGGTCTCGTCAATAGGCATGAATTGATCATGTCTTTGTCAACACAATGAACAATGCCGTGAGAAATTTGAATTTAAAAATATAGGCCGAGGGTAAAACTAATCCTTAAGGTCTGACTTTTTCTCTATAGCCATTTTTGTAACTATTTTAGGGTCAGAGGAAACTCAAATTAATTGTGTCCGTGTTCCGAACATTTGGCGGTAAATAGTTTTTACTTAACGCCACTGATCGTCATTTGATGGATTTTGAACTCCTTGGAAACTACGATACTGTGACCGTTGAATCACCGAAAGGAATATTTTCCAATGATAATTCCACTGAATTTCGTTCAGTATTTAAACATGCATTATGCAAGAGCTAAATCTGCCTATTGCAGGTCTTTCTTTAGGCCTGAAATGTTTTCTAAAGTATTAATTAGACATTAATTAACTGATCCAGACCTTAATCAACTCTCGATGGCATCAGATTTTTCCGATATTAAATAGATTAGAGCGGTTCAGCGATACTTTGATTTAATCAAATATGGAGGTCCGAGACTTAGCTTCAATCAACCAGTACGGTGGTTGAAATTATTGCACACGTCTGTCAAACCTTCAAAGGCTAATATCTTCGCTTGCAATAGAGTAATTTGAATGAAATTTTCAAATTATTCATTTTACATCATCTACTTTCGAACTATTATAGCAAGAATGGCTAGTTCTTTATCTAAATCTTACATAATGTATCTTTAATAGCATAAAGATATTTGGCATCCTCATCAGATGATATAAAGTTATGCTACCTATAAAATCCTTTGATGAACCTCCATTTACAGATACATCTGTTAAGATTTTAATAAAGACTTGGCCATTTTTGATATAACAGTTTAAAAACAGATATTGAAAATTTTAGTTAAATTACTTTATTCTGAACGAAGTTATCACTGTTGAAAGTGTGGACTAGAAATAGGCATCAACTGTCTCCGCGTCGTCTCCGAGAATTGCCGATCGTTTAATTGTCAGACGATAGCTCCGCCCACATATTCTCGATTATTACGTAACATTCTCAATGCCTACGGTACCCTCGATTATCAGTTCTTTCACCGGCAGTCTCCGGAAGTGACGTCAGTAATTAGCGGTAAATGTTAGCTTGGTCAGTCGTTTAAAGGGGCATTATGAGAGATTAGATAAAGAGTTGATAGTTCTCGCTATAATAGTTAACAAATAGACGACTTAAATAGAATATGCTGAAAATATTAGCTTTTGAGTTTTAGGCTTGCCTCGATCATCATTACTAAAGTCGATACGATAAAAAGCAAAATCTCGATTATCCATTTTAACGTTTAATTATATTTCCAAAAATGTATTCCAATCCGCTAAATATCACAGGCTAGCGATGACAATGAGAGTTGATTAACTGGACTAAGACTAAGTATGGTAATAATGTAGTGTATTTATGGTCCAGAATCGAGGAAAACTGTTTGAATTTACATTTTCTGCCAGTTTTCATTTAGTGAATATTCATGTTTTGAGACGGATGATCCCAGAGGTAAACAGACATATGTCATAGCCCATAGATTCCTTTGACCCCTATTCGATATTTTTATCAGGATATTGGAAAATCATCGGAATGCACCCCCCCCCCACAAAAAAAAAGAAAAAAAGAAATGTTAAAGAACAAGGAATTGTATGGATTTGTCATTCAGTATAATGGATCAGAATAACTATCCTGAAACATGTGTTTAGTGCAAGTTATCTCCCTTTAATTGTAATACCACTTTTTACTTTTTTTCCATAAAATCCAGGTTGTGTGCATTTGACTTGTATTGGCACAATTTCTCTGTCAGCCACGACAAATGACAGGCGAAGGTCGGCTTGGCCAGGATTTAAAATCCTTAAGAACTTTATTCATTTATAGCAACAAACCAGTAGATTTGATAGGTTCCCAGCAAATTGGGTTGCATAAAGGCCGGTCTCATTCTATTCAGTGTGGGTGCCTTGAATTATCCAGCCTTCTTTTTCCATGAAAAAGGTGCAGAAGCACGTCTAGTCATTCGGATAGGACGACAAACCGTGTAGGCCTTTGTAAAATAACCTTTAGTAATCTTGGAAATGGGGTTTAACGTCCATTCGACACAAACTAGGTTATTTCTGGACTAACATATGGTTCAATTTTATGTCAATAATTCGCTTGCGCGTAGGGTCTTTACGCCCCCCTTTCATGAAGGACAGGAATTGTTTTATGAATGAGTGGGCACTTTGATCTCAGATATAGTTTAGGCTAGATGATATTCAGATATGTTGACTGCAAACCCAGTTTCATTTGTTTATCCATAGATTTGGAGAAGTAAATCATCGGTTCCAGTTACTATCTAAATCTCATCTATGGCGATGGAATTTTCAAAATTACCCTGAAATCCCCCCCCCCCCCAGTCGTTGCATGAAATACTTACACTGATTCACTCACGCTAACTGAAACGGTAATCAGAAAAATATCAGTCACATTCAGTCTATCCCATTGAGGATGAAAGCAAACCAGCAGCGCTGAGTGGTCGATGGTGCATATACGTACATTGAACGGGAACTGACTGGAACAAGGGAAGAGGATCAGAAAAAGGATACGTTTTTTTTAGAATGGAGGTCACTATTTCAGAAGAGAGGTCACTATTTCAGAATCTTTGTCTGCGATATCACCTCGGTGGAAGCGGACGTAAAATACAACTAACTCACTCACACTCTTTCTGAAGGGAGGACACTGTCATCCCACTTCCTAGACCCTAGTTGGAAATCTCATCGGATTATCAAACATTTCCAGTTACTTTTGCTTCTTGCATTAATGGATGCACCCTGCGTACCCACCCAGCACACCTCTGCTTCTCACTGGCTATTCACACGTTTTACTGTCTTGTAATGTGATTGATTGGTCATGCGTAAAGAATTATTCTAATTGACAGTTTATTACATGACATGACAAAATCAAATCCAAGAACAAAAAATATCGCTTGACCTGTGCACGTGACAGGTAAATTAGAGAAAGTCCCGCGTGGTCATGTTTCGGCCATGTTTAACGAGTTTCTACCATCTGGTGAGACTCAGTGATTGGTCTATAATTCGATATCAGTAACTTTGATGAAGAAATTTGATCGTTTCTTTTTACTCTTGAGCCAACTCATATAATATTAAGTCTGAATATTTTTAATGATTATTATTATCTTTTAGATATTAACATGAAACATGAGCGCTCTTGTAGTTGACTTTAGAGATTGCTTTTATTGTTGTGGAGATGTTTTTAATCGACTCTGTCTATCTGTCAATCAAATGTAATCGTTTATATTTCTCCCTTTTAATAATTGAACAGAAAGCGCCTGTTTGTTCGCGTCCTGGGAATATGATTAAAATAAATAACGTGATGTGCGACTTAAAATTTGTCATATGGTAATGTCTGTTATTTTAAAAAAACAATTTTGAAAGACGTATTATTTTAAATGCCTATCATTAAAGTGGCGCGTGCATAATATAAACACTTCCTTAATACAGCGACTCTGGGCGCCCGGCAACCGACCACCTTCGGTTTATTCCAGATACTGACTTTCGAAATGCCGTTCACTAAGAGTAAAACCAATCGGCATTCCTCGGTATATTCCGGTAAATCCAGCGTATTTCAATTTATAGTTGGACTACATGTTGGATTAAGCCAGAAAGGTTCAATATCTCCCCTTTAAGATTTAGGACTGTGTAAAATCGTCGTACAATGAGACACACTCTAGGGCAAGCCATTTTATTTTCGTCCAAATAGTCCCCTGGAGTGTCAGAAAATAAATTATAAACGACGTCACCAAGAGCCTTTGTGTTAGAATTAAGTAGTTATATTCACTAAAATGTATCCTTGATGACTGCTTTAGAAAGTGTGGGCTGTTTGAAGCTGGAACTGTGGTTAATACTATTTACAAGCAAGGGCGTTATAAGAATCAAAAATGGCTGAGTGGGTGGGGATGGGGTGAATTTAAGAGAGAGAGAGAGAGAGAGAGAGCGAGAGAGAGATTGAGGGGGGGGGGGTTAACGTCCACTCGACACAAACTAGGTCATTTCGGGACTAATATATGGTTTCATTTTATTTCGATAATTCGCTTGCTCGTAGGGGTCTTTAGCGGTGGGAGGAAACCGGAGGACCCGGAGAAAACTCACTAGGTTGGACAGGCGACCCTACTCCTTGTCACCTACAACCGAGGATTCGAAACGACGCTAGTTGACTCAATGACAGGCCTTATGATACAGCGCGCACGTGCTAACCATTCGGCCATCCAACCCCACTGTGAATTTTAGAGCTACAGCAAAGATGACGTTACATAATATATTACACAAGGACGTTATTGGACGAACTTTACTGTAATTTTGAATTTCCTTGAACTGGTTTTAATAATAAAAAAATAAAAAAAAAATATAGCGCGCCACACACCGCTGGAGGCAAATACCTGTGTTATTACGTCATAGAGAGAAGGTGAAAGGAAACAAAGTATGACATGATCTTGAGTGAGTGACACTCGTTACATATTACCAAATCCAATATTAAATGTTGATATCATCTTTACATACATATCTGTACATCTATACCTACATGTCGTGACATATTGCATTTATCAAAAACCAACATATAATTCAAACAATACCCCATGTCAACGCAAAATCGTGTCGGGTTATTTGATTATTCTTATAATCCATTTTATAAATACGATGAAATAGATAGCACTTAATTTTCTCTAAATATTTAATCTCCGATGTCTCTGTATAGGCTTAACGTAATCCGTTATGAAGAATAACACTGCGTACTGCATAATTCAAATTTTTAAGAACAATGTGTAGATGTCAACGTCACGACTTGATGCGACACCGAGACAGAAAAGAGA